ATCAGACCTGAGCTTATGGGTTAAGAAAACCCCATGAGTCCTCTACTATGGGCCTGAAATTGTATGTCAGGCTCGGTTCTATGTCTCGTCTTGCCATGGAAAAGATTGAAGAGCATATGCAAAACTATAGCTGTTTTACTTCTATGAAGCAAATCTTTGCTTGTGGATTTGTTTTGGCATTTCTCTTCGCAGAGATAACTTTTAGTGAAGTTCACACAAACACCACTCTGAATCTGCATATATAAAATGATTAGGTTATGGTTCTATCTTGATTTACAAGCCATTTCTTTCCTTATCATATTCTACTAATCATAATCATAAATCTTAAGATTCTGGGGAAACAAGTGCTGTTGAATTATTAAGGTTTCTTGTAGGCTAATTTGATCAAATTAAGCAACAAATGATTTACACAAACTTAAACTAATTTGTTGGAATTAATGCAAGATTATTGAGTCCATTTAGTTAGTTGAACCGAGAACAATTAGCTCTCTCCATATTTGATTTAAACTGAAAGATTAGGAGGGAAAAAAATTAAAGTATAGACTATAGAGTACTACCATGTCAAGAATTTTTCTTTTCCTTGTTTACTATTTGTTGGTAATTTCCATATAGTTGATAGGCTATGACTGAAGTTTTGCTGCAGCTTTTGCAATTATCAACTTGGTCATTGTTACCGATGCAAAAGATTTTACTTGATGGTAATGCGTGAATAAATTAGAGCCTGAAATGTATTCAATTGTTGCCGCAATTTCATGAAGCTGCAAAATTTGGCTCATAGTTCATTGTACACAGCCTGGACCTGATTCTGTTTTGTTTCCTTATATTTCCTATCTGTTGCTTTTTGCGTTCTTTATGTTTAGCAAGCTTTTGAAACTTAAAACATTCTATAGAAGGAGACCATTCGTGAGGCCATCGAAGATGTTGGATTTCAAGCTTCATTGATTAAAGATGAGACAAATGAGAAATCCATTCAAGTATGCCGGATACATATTAACGGAATGACTTGCACTTCTTGCTCCTCCACTGTTGAAAAAGCTTTGCAGGCAATTCGTGGTGTGCAAAAGGCGCAGGTGGCTTTGGCAACTGAAGAAGCAGAAATTCATTATGATCCAAAAGCTGTGAGCCACAATCAGCTTATGAAAGCAATAGAAGATGCTGGATTTGAAGCCACACTTGTTAGTACAGGAGAAGACATAAGCAAGATTGATCTTCAAGTTGATGGCGTAATGACTGGTAATTCAATGAGAATGCTTGAAAATTCCCTTCAAGCCCTTCCAGGGGTTCAAGCTGTAGATGTATCAACTGAGATCAAAAAGATTTCTGTCTCATACAAACCAGATATAACAGGACCAAGAAACTTTATCAGAGTGATTGAGTCAACCGGGAGTAGCAGGCGTTTCAAGGCAACTATATTTCCTGAAGGAGAAGGAGGTGGAAGGGAGACTCACAAAAGGGAGGAAATTAAGCAGTACTTTAGATCTTTCCTCTGGAGCTTGATTTTCACTATTCCTGTTTTTCTAACCTCCATGGTTTTTATGTATATCCCTGGAATTAAGCATGGATTAGATACCAAAGTAGTCAATATGCTAACTGTTGGTGAGATTATGAGGTGGGTGCTATCAACTCCAGTGCAATTCATAATAGGGCGTCGATTCTATACTGGTTCCTACAAAGCATTGCGCCATGGTTCTGCCAACATGGATGTTTTAATAGCCTTGGGGACAAATGCAGCCTACTTTTACTCAGTCTACACAGTGTTAAGAGCTGCTACCTCTCCAGATTTTGAGGGTACGGATTTTTTTGAGACAAGTGCAATGCTTATTTCATTTATCCTACTTGGGAAGTATCTGGAGGTTCTAGCCAAGGGAAAGACATCTGAGGCCATAGCTAAGCTTATGAACCTTGCACCTGAGACAGCAATATTGTTGACTTTGGATGGGGAAGGAAATGTGATAAGTGAAGAAGAAATCGATAGTCGATTGATACAAAAGAATGACGTCATCAAAATTATTCCTGGTGCAAAAGTAGCTTCAGATGGTTTTGTTTTGTGGGGGCAAAGCCACATAAATGAAAGTATGATAACAGGAGAGGCACGACCAGTAGCAAAGAGGAAGGGAGATACAGTTATTGGAGGCACGGTTAATGAGAATGGAGTATTACATATTAAGGCAACAAAGGTTGGTTCAGAAAGTGCGCTTGCACAGATTGTTCGGCTTGTTGAGTCTGCTCAGATGGCCAAAGCTCCTGTACAGAAGTTTGCTGACCGCATTTCAAAATATTTTGTGCCTCTGGTAATAGAATATAAAATTGCTTCATGTCCTCTTAGGCTTGTTTCACAAAGTTGTTTTGCTTAGATTGTCATTTGTTTCACTTGTTCAAGACTTCGGTAGCAGCAACTGACTATTGTCTTTTGCAGGTGATCATTCTTTCATTTTCAACATGGCTTGCCTGGTTTTTAGCTGGAAAGTTTCACGGCTACCCAGAATCATGGATACCATCTTCAATGGATAGATTTGAGCTTGCACTTCAGTTTGGAATCTCTGTCATGGTCATAGCCTGTCCTTGTGCTCTGGGCCTTGCAACCCCAACAGCTGTTATGGTTGGTACCGGAGTTGGTGCATCTCAAGGCGTACTAATTAAAGGGGGTCAAGCTTTGGAAAGTGCACATAAGGTTAGCATAGGCCTTTCATCTTGAAATTTGCTAGTTTCTGTATATTGAGCTACTGTATTGTTGCTCTTGTTAAAATCTGTTATTTGCTGTTTCTATCTGGAAATCTTATCATGCTACAGAAGCTTTTCTATTAAAATAGAAAAGAATAGCTAAGTACCATTCAAATTAAAACAGTTGTAGATTCAGTATGTTTCTTTCGTCAGAATGTTAAGAAAAAAAGAAGACCCGAACTCCATATTGTTTGAAGATTTTTTTTTTTTGAGAGGTAAAAGAGATTTTATTTATAACATAGGATACAAAATCCATCATAATATGAACAACTGTCCATATCAAAGAAACTGTGCTAGCCCATTGAGTTTTGGGGAAAAGAAACTGAGGTATTGAATATTTTCTTCTTACTTAGATACACAGGTGGCCTCTTGTTTTTCCTATTTTGATTCTTATATTTCTATCAATCTTGTAGGTAAATTGCATTGTATTTGACAAGACCGGAACTCTCACAGTTGGAAAGCCAGTCCTTGTTAACACAAGACTCTTGAAAAATATGGTGCTACATGAATTCTACGAGCTTCTTGCTGCAACCGAGGTATGCTTTTCTTCACTGAATTCTGACAGGTTGAGAGAAGTTCTTTGCATAGAATAATCATTAATGTTATCAGTCCTCCAACCTACTTGAATGGATCTTACAAACTTCAAATAGATTGACTCAAACATTCTCTTGTTATTAATGCTGGTAATGAATTGGTCAGGTAAACAGTGAGCATCCACTGGCCAAGGCCATCGTTGAGTATGCCAAGAAGTTCAGAGAAGATGAAGAGAACCCTGCTTGGCCAGAAGCACGAGACTTTGTCTCTGTAACAGGTCATGGAGTGAAAGCCTTTGTCAGGAACAGGGAAATAATTGTGGGAAACAAGAGCTTGATGTTGGACCACAACATTGCTATTCCAGCTGATGCTCAAGATATGCTAACAGAAACTGAAGGGATGGCACAAACTGGCATATTAGTATCAATAGATGGGGAAGTGACTGGAGTTCTAGCCATATCTGATCCAGTGAAGCCAGGTGCTCAGGAAGTTATTTCCATTCTCAGGTCTATGAATGTAAGAAGCATTATGGTGACAGGTGACAATATGGGAACTGCAAGTTCCATTGCCAGGCAAATTGGAATTGAAACGGTTGTTGCAGAAGCGAAACCTGAACAGAAAGCAGAGAAAGTAAAAGACTTACAGGTAAATATATGAGCATTGGTGTTTCGTAATAAAGTTGCTGGCATCTTTATGTAAACATTTTATTCATTTTTCTTAACCACAGGCAGCAGGTTATGCTGTGGCAATGGTAGGAGATGGCATTAATGACTCACCAGCACTTGTAGCAGCAGATGTTGGAATGGCAATTGGTGCTGGCACAGACATTGCTATAGAGGCAGCTGACATAGTTCTGATGAAGAGCAACTTAGAGGATGTGATCACTGCCATACACCTTTCCCAGAAAACCTTTTCTCGTATCCGTCTGAACTACATCTGGGCTTTGGGGTATAATATTCTGGGCATTCCAATAGCTGCTGGGGCTCTTTTTCCATCAACTGGGTTTCGTTTGCCTCCATGGATTGCTGGAGCTGCAATGGCAGCCTCTTCAGTTAGTGTGGTTTGCTGCTCCCTCTTGTTAAAGAATTACAAGAGACCCAAGAAGCTGGAAAACCTTGAGATACGTGGAATAAAGATCGAGTGATGGATGATAAAAGGTTCTTGATGCAGTTGTGTATATATGTTTAGGGGGAACAAATAAAGCTGGTAGGTCAGTCAATGGATGAATGCAATATATAAATAGAGTGACTTTGGTTGGCTGGCAAATTTTGTACATACACCAGTGGTGCTGTTAAGATTTTTAGATATTTTGTGTAGCTATGTATGAAGGGCAGTGGGCAAAGGCAGTGTTGTAATCTCTTATTGTGCATGAATTCAATCCGGTTTGTCTTGATAATAAATCCATCTCTGTATTTTTAGCTTTCAATTGTTTTCATCAACTATCTATCCTTTTGCTTTCTATACCCTTTGATCAAATCAATCCTTCTCATTATTATATAGCAAAGCTAGCAGAAGTTGATAAGAGAAAGATATATTTTCTTTTTCACTTATGTAGAAGCTTCATACACGGAGATGTGTTACAAAACTAAACCAGTGGGAGAAATTACAGTGCTAAATCATACTAAGGATCTCTAATATTGCAAGAAAAGAAATTTAAATTATGTATATTATATATATATAAAAGATTAATCCTATTCATAATTTAACTCTAACTATTGTAGTGTAATTCTAATTAAAAATAGTAATTTAACTAGATAATAATATTTATTTAATAAGATAATTTGTATAATATCTCAACACAAATTTCGAGCAAATCAGAAGCTTATCACAACATTTCTATATGTGATAGAGACTTAAGTTGCCTAGAATTGAGCTTTAAATTTCACCACGTGGAAAAATGTTTCAAGAGGATGAAGTCCTTTAAACCACTCCTTTTCTTTCGTTTTCCTCTTCCCCACAAACAGTGCAGCTCTAGTGAAGCTGATTGTTGAGCATAGCAATCAGATGGTTGCAGATTCCTGGACTACACTAACTTTGTCATATTATCCATTTGAAAGCTTGATTATTGTAACTACTCTTCACTTTATTCTAATTCTGATTCAGCATATAGAGCAGATACAAATTATTTTATGGTCCAAATCCCCGTAAAACTGTTGCTGATAATAAGCATGCTGCACCAGGAAAAACTGAGGACTTGGAGATTCCGAAGTCTTGCCAGAAACATCCTGTGTCTGACCTACAACATGCTATCTGTCCTGGCAGGCAGCCGACGGAAGAAGTTTATTGGCACTGGTGGCAACCTGTATCGAAATCTTGGGTGTCTCATCACATAGAACCCTGTCAAGGCTGCTATCACTTGAAATGGTGTCACAAACAACACTATGGCAGCTACAAGGCAAAATGAAATAAAGATGGCAGTAGCACGTGGGTCTCGCCAGCTTAGTAGTGCTTGAAACCGCTCCCCCTGAGTTGCAACATCACCAATCACAGTCTGAATTCTACCAGCCACACTCCTCAACCGATCGTACCTCATTCTAACCAGCTCCGGGCTCTTGCTTGTAGGAAACGTATCAAATTCCTCATCAAGCTCATCAGGGTGCACTGCCTCAGCTTGTGAAATCTTTGTGTTCATGTGAGGAGGGTACCTTGGCCGATAGCGGAAGTTCCACACCCCTATTAGAAACATGTAGAGGAAAATTGTAGGCAAGATCAGTTCTGGGAGGCAAGCAAGCATTAGAAAGAGCACATGAACCAGAACTGTTGTGATAGGATTCTTCCACATGCAGATATCCCCAAACCATTTCCCAACAGCAAACAATCCTGAGAAAACTGTCATTAGTCGGAAGAAATTTGCTTTGCTTTTGCGCATGCTCCAAAGATGTGAGTCCACATCAGACATATACTCAACTACCTCCTTCCGAAGTGGGGGCTCTGCCCGACCTAAGCGTGCTGCCACTATATTAACAGCTTGATGGCGTAGCATGTCCAGCTGCATCACACTGAAGGGCCTTACATAGTGCATTTTGGGTAGTAGTGGTCGTGAATATTGGTAAAGCATGTTTACAAAAGATGTACATGTGAATCGTATTGCCAAATGCAATTCCCCCTTCTTCTTAACCCCAGTTGGATGAAGAACCAGCAAGGGATAAGAATGTGTGTAAACACGACCTGCTTCCAAAGTAGAGATGCGAATCCTAACCTTCCCAATCTTCAGGTCCTTGTTACTATTTGAACCCTTCTCCCCAAGCTGGCTGTTGTCAAATACACCAACTGTGAGAACGGTAGCTGGATCAAAAACTTCCCAAGTGTACTGCTCATTATACTTTGGAGACAGATTGTCAACAAGGGTGCGAGTGCGGATCCATTTGTGACCATACTTTGCTACACAGTAGGTATCTGATGTTCCCCTCCCATCTCGTGTTTTCATAGGATGGAGACCTACTGCATTTAAGATGCCAAGTTCCAAGACCCCAATTGGTGGCCTCCACAGTTGCTTTGCTGTAGGGCGGAGATCACTGCTGTAGTGAGTAGACTCATCAAGCACATGATATCCTCCATCTAAACAAACACGAAGATGGATTCGGCTAGAAAACTTATCTTTCTTCAGCTGATCTACATCCACAGCAACTGGCTTTTCAAGGTTGAACCAACGAGAATGAATGATTCGATCATCAGCACGCTTTTCTATGGAGTTCAATGGTATAATGGCCCTCCCAATTATCTCATCTTTTCCAGGAGCCACACGATCCTCAACTGAAAGAACTAGATGATCTTCAAAGGGTTCAGCAGCAACAAACAGAAGATCCTCATTCCAGATGGCATTCAGAGTCCGAGCCTGACATGGCTTTGTTTTCACAACCTGGTTGCCTATTTGTGCCTTAACGTACACATCGGGGAAACGGTTCTTCTCCGTTGGCACCAGGTCTTGTGCTTCAACAACATTAACACGCACGTACCACAGTCGTGGTGAATGATAGACTTTTGAACGTAGCACTGTAAATGTAGCCGGTGTGCTATCAACAGGAGTAGCTGCATCAGAGTGCCACGCATCAGAAAAAGCCTCATCTGCTTGAGTTCCAATCCAGACAGCAAGCATCAGCTCACCCTTTATCTTCTCTCCCTTCTTATCCTCAAGCCGGTACCACTCTGGAGCCAGAGGACTATCTGGTGGGACGCGTAATGGAACCTCACTGATGTCAAACCTTATAATTCCAACAAAGTCATCTTTGACCAGATCCTTGTCCTTAATCACAACTTCTAATACAGAAGCTTGCATACGATCCCTTGAAAATGCAAATACCTGGTTCCACTCAGGATTTTGCTTTTTCTCAAAGTGCTTTGTTATGCCTTTGTAGTTCCCAACCTTTACCTCCACAAATGGATCAATACTCCCAGTAACATCCATTGCAGGAAGTTCACGAGCTTTGACAACCCTTACATAGAGAAAATGCATCCGCTCAACAAGATCATATGTACTCGCAGTCTTATCTCCATGGATAACACGCCCCCCGACAACTCTTCCCCCACCAAGAAAGGGACTGGTTTCTTTAAGTGCAAAATCAACAGGTTGTGCAGATAATGCAGAGTGCATGTGTACTAGCTTTGGAGGAGGTGGTTCTGGTTTCATCTCATCAGCAATATACTTTGGTACGTGATGATGGTGATGAACGGCTGGATCAGAAGAATGATGCTGATCGTGTTGGTGTAGATTTGGATTGGGAAGATGATGAAAGGTGTGCCTTGATTCAACCCTGTCTTTCATGACCGGGCTTTGAACTGTTTGCGCAAGCATAGGAGTTACGTGGGGTTCGCGACTAGGCAAAGATTCAACAGTGGGTGCTGGGATTGAGGACTTTATGGATGGATCATCTGTAATATAAACTTTTAAGCCGAGCTCTCCTCTCACACGTGAAAATATCCCACGCTTTTCCAGGGGGTAGTGCAAGACAACAGCATCAGAGTAAGGAACGAATGAAGTTCCAGTGAGACAAACCTTCCCGAGAAACGGTCTGGTGTTAGAACCTTTGATATTATTGTAGACATACGCATCAAGAGAGAGATAATGGAGGTTGGAAGGATCAGAGATATTGAAGTAAAAGCTCTCATTCCAAACAGGGTTGAGATCCTTTTCTTTGATAGTGGTACGGAACTTCTGACCATCAAAGTACAGCTCCACAAAGGAACTGGCTGAACCTTGCCCATCTTTAGGCAAAAGATTGTGGGCACTGACCACATCAACCCCTAGCTTAAGGTTGTTCATCTGATGTTTAAGAGAGTGAGCTTGTTGAACGAAATGTGAGAGTGCAGAAAAGAAAGATGGCTATAGGTACCTGCAGCAGGAATAGGAAGTTATTATCGATTGGCAATGAACATCTACAACAGAAAAGGAAAAAAAAAAATGCATTGCAGGGAAGAAACAAATTACATGAATAACTCATTGAATGAACTCTTGAATGAGACATATAGATTGTGATAGAACTACACAGATTATTAATCTACCTTAGGCAACGGTCGTACAGTATCTTCACTTTTCAGGGTAATGCAGGCAATGTTCACACAAGGAGAACATGCAAGAGCAAAAAGAAATTGATCACAACAAGCAGCGCACCCTGATGACAGTGCTTATCATCGAACAGGCAAGAAACCAATCAAGTACAGTGAAGCCAGGAGGAAAACTGATTCACAAATAGTATGAAACAGAACACATCTAAATGAAATGTCCACAAATTTAATACTTCCCTCTAAAGATGAATTTCAGCTTAGAGAAAAGATTTTCCTATCTTCCTCTATGTTGATTTTTCATTACTAATAAGATACTAACACAGAGCTGACCAAAAAATCAAGGTTTAAATTATTAAATTTGACTTAGAAAAAGCAAATCCATTGTGTATAAATTAAAACTGAGAAAGAGAAACAAGTCCGCACTTTTTATAAAAGAATATGAGCAAAGCTACGTCGTAAAGAGAAGATCTAAAACATGAATTATAAAAAAAATGGTGCTACTACTTTGCACATGACTGCCACTCTTTAAGCTAAAGATCCTTATACCACGCTTAAAACACATGCCCTTTGCTCAGAATATACGCAATTTAACCATAGGATCTCAAAACTGTCTTCATCTCTCCAGAACAAAAGAAAAGAAAAGAGTAAAGCGAGAAAAGAACCAAAAGAAAAGCTTCGACTGTCATTAATCTCCAAATAAATAATTAAATATCTCCGCACACACTGAAAACGAAACAATGTATTAGTTCTTAATTTCCTCGGTTTTCTCGGCTACCAAACAGAGGTTAGATGGAAATCTATTTAATATAAACAATAAATTTACCGTTAAAAGTGCTCAAAAAGGCTACAAAACTGAACAATGAAGTTGAGAACAATGAAAAGAAGGCATCAGTTAAACTTTACTCAACGGATGTATATATCATTTTTCTTTCCCGTTAAAAGGAAACAAAAATATCGACCTTTCTTGATAAAAATCCAGAATGCACTTCGAAAGTAAGATAATCAGAGCTACAGAGCGTAAAGCTAGACTCAGCTCTTTCAAGCTGGTCATTGAAATGCTATTACTAGGAGAAAAAACAAACAAAAAAACAAGAACCAAAACTGATGAAATTCACCTTCTCTTAAATGTGAGCTGAAACGTCTTCAAACTTGAACCATTTTCTTCAAAGAAATGGCAAGCTCCTCTTCATAAATATACTTTGCATTTGCAATGCATTAAAGTTTCTGAGACAGTAAAAGAAAAGCAAAAGAGTTATTGCAGACACGATAAACGAGGGGAGTGATAGAGAAAGAAAACAACAATGCAGCCATTTGATAGCAGGGAAAAGGAAAATGGCAAAAACAGAAAATTTTTATTAGTTTCAAGTAGTGATGGCAAAACAGGGTCGTTTTCGGTTCTGATTCGTCGTTTTGACTCCTACGTATCGCATTTTAAGATTTTTCAAATAATCGAGGAGGGCTGTTAAGGTGTGGACCATCTTATTGTGATTATCATAAGGTGTGATCTCGGCGCGCGTTTCTTTTATCATGTGGTGGTGATAAAGAGGAGATCTCTACCAATGTCTGTACGAAATTGGACCAGTTACTTGGACCGCTTGGATTCTATGCTGTAATTTTTTCTAACCGCCGCTGGTGCCTACTAAACTTTTGCAAATCAATTCACCTTTGAGTAAAACAGTAGTTACTATAAGTTTTAAAGATTATTTGCATTTCAACCTCAAACTTTTCTGTTCAATTCTCATACATCCCTGCTGCAACGCGGAAGTTATCACGTATAGGAAGCAACCTGAAAAATGAAAATGGATCTCCCTCCTTCGCTTTCTCTTTCCAAGCCATTAATTGGCGAAGTGGTCAACCGCTCTGATTCTACCTGTCGACCACATTAATGTGGCCATGTGGCGTTCGCAGCGCTGGAGCTGGCCGGGCGCGTGCATGTTTCTCACTTTCACGAAAATAAATGAAGATCAGAAACTTAATCTGTTGGCCTCGTGATTACCGAATCCCCAAGATCTTCATCCTATTGATACCATCATCGGCTACGATCGTTACACGTGGGGTTCTTTGTCGATAGTATGATTATGATTTTAGGATGAGCATGGATTTTTGGTTTCCAGTCACATGGGCCAACTCGTGCAGCCTTGCACCTCGCTCCAATATAGAGGCAGTGTTTTTGTACTGATTTGCATGATTGGCATGTAAAGTTTCTGGAAGAGAAGCCAAAGACTACAAGACAGGAGCGTAAGACAAACGGTGTCGTCTGGTGACTCTCTTCTCTTTCACTTGTACTTTCATGTTTCACGTGTATTTACTATTTACTATCTACTATGGTAGTACCAAATCTTCTAGATTTCTACCATATACTATGGCCTACAAAACTTTGTCCTCTATAAAATTGAATGCCAAGTTGAGTTGTTTTCTATGTTATATTCTTATTTTTTGGACAATAATTAAAAAAATGAGTAAGAATTATATAATACAAAAATATGAATTACGATGTTTTGCTTTGTTCTCTTTAGTTTGACAATAAATTGAAATTATTTTTAAAGTTTAAAATTACATATATGAGGTACTTTTGATGAAGATTTATTTTAGTATCAAATATGTAATTAATTAATTAATTAATTTTTTTATATATAAAAATCTATTGAAATAGAAAATATACAACATATTTAACTTTTTTTTATAATGTCTGAACCTTTGTTGCTCATCAAAATTATGATATGAAGGTAAATATATCATAATGTAAACTAAATAAGTTAAAAGTTTCATCACATTATTCCCTATAAAAGAGACAATTAATTTTGCAGTGCCAATTAATAACTATTTTCGATACTTCTCTTATTCTTTTGAGATTGTTAGACACAATTTTCAGTAACCCATATAGGTGAATTTGACATTTATCATTAAAATCTATAAAATTGAAAATTTAACTTTTTGTAAACTATGAAAGCTTGAATAAGGGTTGCATTAATTTTAGTGGACGAATTAATGTTTTTAAAAATTTTTGAATTTTTTAAAAAATTCAGATAAATTTTTGTTGACATAATGCTTAAAAAAATGCATAAAATATGTTAAAAAATTTAAATAAGTTTTTATCATTTTATTATATTTAATCAAATCTTATATTTTTATTTTGAGTCTAATAAGTTCTTATAATTAATAATTAATTTAATTATCATTAGTTAAAATAATATTTATTATTTTATATTTACATAGTATTAATATGATACTAATGTAAAAAGTAAAAAATATTACATAATCATATTATTATACCATATTCTCATCAATTATAATATGTCAATATATCATATCATTTTCAATTAAGGTACGCTAGTATATCATATCAATTGCGCTTGGTATAGAGTGACAAATGAAAATTTAATTAAGTCAATTATTAATCATAAAGACTTATTTGATTTAAAATAAAAAAATAAAAATTTATTTAATTTAAAATAAAAATTTAAGAGTTTATTTGATTTAAAATAAAAATAAAAGAGTTTATTTAGTTTAAAATAAAAATATAAAGGTTTAATGTAATAAAAAAATAAAAATTTTATTGGATTTTTTTAATTTATGATTTTTGAGTTATTATATTTTTTTAATATTACAATAAAGAATATAAACAAAATTAAAACAATAATCCAAGTGTTAATTGGATAATGAAAACTCAAGTCAAGCTGTTTTTATGACCAAATCAAGCGTTTAATTATAAACTTCAAATATTCACTCATTATATATATATATTTTAACGTAATTTACTCATTATATTAGTAACAAAAGTATGGATTAATAAGTAAACTTAACTTGTTCATTCAAAATGAGGAAAAAGTAAATTTAAACTTGAATAAATGTCATTTTCTTTGCAGTAAAAGATTTCAATAAATGCTTTTGTCAAAAGAGAGAATCAAGAAAACTAAATAATGAATTAGACCAGAAAGGCTCGCTCCGATTACCCTTATCAGTACTCTGTAGTCAATTAGCAGGTGAAGAAACGAGATAGTGAGGAAACAAACTAAACAAAGGCAGAAGAGAACAGGTATCATATCAACAGACAAGGAACTGAAAAGATTAAGGAAAAATGAAGCTCAAAGTATATGCTGATCGGATGTCGCAGCCATCTCGTGCTGTCATCATCTTCTGCAAGTAATTCTTTAACTCTTGTATTTCATAATCTCACGCGGCTGTAGCGACGGTCATCTGGGTGTTCCTCTTTTAATTTTGCTTCATTTCCTCTCTCTCTCTCTTTTTTTTTTTGTAATTTTAGGGTAAATGGTATAGAATATGAGGAGATCAAAGTAGACGTCTCAAAGCGTCAGCATTTAACTCCTGAATTCGCAGGTACTTTGTATAATTCAAATTATACACAAGTTGGTTATTAATTGAAATTATCAATTAGTGTTTTGTATAAGTGAATAAGCAAGCACAGTTGACGGGAATTATAAATTGTTGCCACAGTAAGTACTAAGGTTTTGCAACACGTTCATGTATATTCCTATGATGTTGTTGCAGATATAAATCCTATGAAAAAGGTGCCAGCCATTGTTGATGGAAGATTTAAGTTGTTTGAGAGGTACTTATAGAAGATTTCTCTTACCCTTGTTTCTTTTTTTTTGGTCCTTTTCCCCTTATTTCAAGGTTAGATATATATTAACTAATTTATTTGTTGCAGCCATGCCATTCTTATCTATCTTGCCTGTGCATTTCCTGGAGTTGCGGATCATTGGTAAGTCCAGTTGCTGTCTCTTATGGCAATTTTTTTTTTTTTAAAGTATGTGCTATGTTACATGATGTCTTGGGCAACTTAGGATGGACATGGGTAATTTGTATTGATCTTGTTTTCCAGAAAGAGTGTCCAGCAAAAGCATGGAATGAAAGTCTTCTTTCATTCTTTGCTTATTGCTTGGATTTCCTTGCCCACCTTCTTGATGAATGTACAGTGCTACATCACTTTTGTCACATAGATAGTTGAACAACTTCAATGGTATGTCCATGACTCTGCGTCCTATGATGTTAAAATTAGAAGGATTTATGACACAACCAACTCATGTGCTGATTTCTATGTACTATATAGGTCACTGTTGTACAGAATGTTATCACTATATTTGGGCACTTCTCACATTCAGTTTGAATCTGTGGCCTGGTTATTAATTAATTTTCCTGTCCATGCTTCAAGGTATCCTGCTGATCTTTTCAAGCGAAGTAAGATTCACTCAGTGTTGGACTGGCATCACTCAAACTTACGTCATGGTGCAGGTGTATAATCAACCCTGAAAAGATTCAAACCATATAAGTTTTCTTCTTTCTTCATAGTGATTGGTCATTGATGATATAAGATAATATCTGTTGTATCTGCATTCATCAATGCCCTTTTTTTTTATGACGATTGCTACCTTTTTGGATCAATACTATTACACAGTCTTATTAAATGACAATTATGTACTTTGAGGTTGGCATTTTAAGCATCAGATCTGTCCATTTGTATCCCTTAATCAACATTGAACTATCAGAGATGCTAGGATTACTTCCATTCTTTACTTTTGGAATCTTTCCCGTCACTACATATACATGCTTGTGTTTAAACACAAACAAATTCAGTTTCGGTTATCCATGTCACTTTGTTACCTCCTATTGTTACATATGATTGTCTTTGTGGTTATGTATTTCAATGTTCCCTTTGTTTGGTGGCTATGCTTTAGAACTTGATGCTTCTCGTTTCAGTTACATATGTTCTGAATACTACACTAGCACCTGCTCTTGGCCTTCCGTTGAATCCACAAGCAGCTGCTGAAGCTGAGAAACTTCTGTCCTCTTCTCTGTCAAAGATAGAGTCCATTTGGCTCAAGGGTAGTGGACTTTTCCTGCTGGGTGGGAACCAACCAACCATAGCAGATCTTAGCCTTGTTTGTGAATTAATGCAACTTGAGGTATATTTGTTATCACTTGAAGTTTTTGTCCACATTTGAATTCTTATTTTTGTCATTACTTTTCTGGTGGAACATAATATTCTATCATAGAGAGTCAGCTGTGCTCCCCATACATGACCTCTTTTCTTGAAGGCAAGCATCCACAGCCACTCATCATCATCTCAACAACAAGAGCAACAAAGCCTTTCCAGTACTGTTACATTTATCTCTCCGCTGTGCACTGTTTAGGACCATATTTCTATGAGCTCAATAAAAATTGAGGTCATTTCTTATAGTTATTATCCATACATCTTTTGGTCTGCCTCTCCTCCTATTGACATGCACAACCACTCATGCAAAGAAATACACAAGCTGGCATGGTATCTCTCAGCTAGTTCACCTGAGTCATAGTTCTTTATTGGGGAGCATCAATGTTAGGTTTCTAACCTGGAAAGGAAAAATATACACAAATCTGCAGGTCTGACAGTGATATTCATGAATTTTCTGCTTATTAACTATACATAAATGGAAAATGTGCCTAGTTTAATTTTTTGGGCTTTCACTCATACTTTTTCATGTACTGTTTTTAGTGGAATAGATTGCCATGTTAATCTGTTTCTTTTGAACATAACTGAAACCTAGGTCAGAGATTTATCTCTGTTTTGCTCATAAGGTGCCCGTAATTAACTTGCACTGCTCCCTGAGATATGCACAATTCCACTACATGTTATTTGGTGACAATTCTAAGTGGGAAAAGATTATGTATATATGTTATGACTATGATTGTTATTTCAGAATCTTTATTCCTTCTTGGCTTGGTAATCTATATATGTGCCAAGGGAATGGAATTATATGGAAAGACATCGAGATTTCGATAACAAAATTTCTTGGATGTAGGTTTTGGAGGAGAAGGATCGCACTAGGTTACTGGGCCCACACAAGAAAGTTCAGCAGTGGATTGAGAATACAAGAAATGCTACGAGACCTCACTTTGATGAAGTGCATAAGGTAATCTTCAAAGTCAAAGAAAAACTACAAGTTCAGCGACTAAAGGGAGCATCAAATGATGGAACGGAATCTAGCATGAAAAAGCCATTACTCTCTAAAATGTGATGAGCAAAAACTGCATTACTTGTTTTTATCACAGGATCTTGTGGTGTTGAGTTTCTTTATAAAATAGAGGCTACAATCTTTGTATAATAAGCAACTATTAGCACATAAATCATATACGTGTGCTACATAATGGTTTATGTTGCAAGTTCCGTAATTAGATTTTTTGTCAACTGTAGTAACACTGTAACAGGTTCTCTCCGTTACTCTTGGATCACAGTGGCAGACGTTAAAATTTCATTCATCTAAAGCTCTCTTGTTTGATCACAAATAGCTTACATGGAATACACCCAAAATCCATAGCTTAATAAATGAAACTGAAGAAAAAATGGCGTATATAAGAACACAAGATTTTGGTATCCTTATGTTGTTTTAATCGTTCTAGTACATCTTTGAAGTTTACAGCTAAAATTTCTATGATTTCTTATTCCCTTCCTTTATCCCCCTCAGAATAATCTAGGACAGGTTTTATTGTGGAAACATGCAAATAATTACTTAGGTCTACTCATTAAAGCAAAGCATGGAAACAATCTTTTCATGGGTGAATCCTGTGTGGACACGCTACCTATATAACATTCATGCCTTGCATGTGGTCTAGTGAGTTTGTGTCTCTGAAGGGAATAAACTCTTCAGTTTCTTCTCACAAAAATAATGACAATATATGAATATACGTTTTTATAAATTCTGTTCCAATTGTATAGCTTAATGCCACCACTTTGACCTCCTAATTATATGCTTTTTCCTAAACCGAGTAGCAAACTTGTCATTGTGAAAAATGTCAATGCTCTTGTTTAAGTCTCAGCAATAATATAATATCATTGCATTCCAATTGTCTCGGGGGCCCATATGAACGAAGGAGCCAAGATGCCTGCAGAGCAACTGCATTTTCAACCATTACAGAGGCAATAGAAATCCCACTGGTCGCCTATTATTAAAAAATATTTGAACCAAAACCAGAACATCCGAATTCCAGCTAAACCAAAAGCTCAGCTGCATCAGCATTCAGGGCTGTCATGTTCATGCCATTGACCTTTCATGGAGCGAATGTTTTACAACTATTTTATAAGTTGGTCAACTAGTGAATGTAGTACCTAATAATAATTATTGTGTGCAGGATAAACGTGCACTCAAATTTGGAGCCCATAATACGTGCAACCATGTCCAGAGGCAACTCTCTTTAGGAGAAGATGCAGCTTTCTCCCACTAGAAAAACCAGAAACAAAAGCAATGAACAGAGAGAAACTCCACCGATATGGCAATCTCTATGTCCAAAAAGAAGTCCAAAGCATCAAAAAAAGTAGAACAAAAGCAATATGATTTTGCTGATACAATTTTGTTTAAAATTCTCTACCGTATCCCTGCTGCAATCCTCCTGTTAATTCTCATCTTCCTTTGGTCTTCTTCCACAACTATCATCTCTGGGAAATTTGTTCGTGTATGCATTTCGTCGCGGAAGCTCAATAATCTGTACTGTCTCTCTGCAGGTGCCCAACCGAACTTTGAAATCCCAATTTCAGCTCATAACAATAGTTTAATTAGTCCAAACATAAGTGCCAGTATCAGAGACGTGGTCAACATCGTCCGGGATGACCCAGATTCAATCGTCAGCAACAGGGTTCACAATAATGACAGTGGTGGAGAAGTTGCGATTGCTGTGAAGGCTGTTGAAGCGCAGCTACAAGTTCAAAGATCATGGATATCGAATAAGAATCATGCGGAATCATGTGATGGAAGGGGGATTTATGTGTATGATCTGCCATCAAAGTTCAATAAGGACTTGGTAGGTCAATGTGGAGATATGATTCCATGGACAAATTTTTGTAAGTATTTCAATAACGAGGCAATGGGGGAGCCTATTACAAAGCTTGGAAAAGGATGGTATCACACTCATCAGTACGCCCTGGAGCTGATATTTCACACAAGGGTTTTGAAGCATCCTTGCAGGGTTTATAATGAAAACGAGGCAAAGCTGTTCTATGTCCCATTTTATGGTGGCTTAGATATCCTGAGGTGGCATTTCAAAAATGTCTCAAATGATGTTAAAGATACCTTGGCGCTGGAACTTGTGAAGTGGCTCGAGAACAAAAAGTCATGGCTTCAACACTCTGGTAAGGATCATGTATTTGTGTTGGGAAAGATTTCTTGGGATTTCAGGAGAAAAAGTGATGCTTCATGGGGGACTAGATTGCTAGAGCTTGATCAAATGCAGAACTCTGTGAAGCTGTTGATCGAACGCCAACCCTGGCACATCAATGACATTGGAATTCCTCATCCTACCTATTTTCATCCCCATTCGGATGATGATATCATCACTTGGCAGCTGAAGATTATCCGAACAAATCGCAAGAGCCTAGTCAGTTTCGCTGGGGCGGCAAGGCCAGATGCACCGGAAAACATAAGGTCAATACTGATCAATCAGTGCAACTCAGATGAAAGGAAATGCAGGTTTCTGACTTGTAGTTCAGGAGGATGTGATCAGCCTGAATCTGTTATTGAGCACTTTATGGAGTCTGAATTTTGCTTACAACCCCCTGGAGATAGCCCAACAAGAAAATCCTTATTTGATTCGCTTGTCTCAGGTTGCATTCCGGTACTCTTTGATCCATTCACAGCTTACTACCAATATCCATGGCATTTACCAGAGGATCATAGCAGATATTCAGTGTTCATAGACCAAGAAGAGGTGAGACAGATGAAGGTAAATGTGGTAGAAAGGCTCACGAAGGTTCCCGCAAGGGAAAGAGACGATATGAGGAGGTACATTGTTTATGAACTATTGCCTGGTTTGGTATACGGAGACTCAAATTCTCAGCTTGAGAAGTTTCAAGACGCATTTTCCATGACAATGAAAAACTTGCTTGAGCGGGTGAATAGAATAGAATGAGTTCTAAAACTGGGTTTTATTACTTCATATTGCTTTCTTGTTCATAGTGTGGGGGAGTAACTGACTTGCCATTGACGTGAGACTTGAGTCAATGTTCAGTCTTTCTCTGTTTTCCCTTTCTTTTTTGTCTTTAAACATGAACAAAGTTCAAGTTATAACTTCTAACCCAATTTATAAATAGCAATAACTAGTTCAAGAACTACTTCTTGAGCAATCGGTATTCCTCCAATCATCAGCTTCATCAAATGTTCACAACTTCTCTTAACATACTGGTGTACCCAAGCCTTGCTCAAGTTGTTTCAGTTATCAAATCAAATTTTGTTCAATAGAATAATCTTCCAAAAACTTCTGGTACAAATGTCCATAGGAATATCTAAATTGCTTAGAAAAATCCATGAGATTTGTGAACATTGATTTCATCCAGGCCCGGCTCTAGGGTAAGGCAAGCAAAGCCTTCGCTTTAGGCCCCAAATTTTAATAGGCCTCACATATTTTTTTGAAATACTACACCTTTATGCCTTAAGCAAGTCAAAATACAAAAGAGCAGGTGAACAAAAACCATCCCTGCATCATGAGCACTCACCACCCCAGCCTCAAAGACTCATAATTTTATAATAATATAATTAATTTATATTAATTAAATATAAAAATTAAGATAATTATAAAATATCTATTTATTATCTCATGTCTAATAAATATTTATTTTCTCTCACTTCTCATATTTTTTTAATTCTGATCTCTTTATGTTATTTTTCATAAAAAATATATAAAAATTAAATAATTAATAAAATAAGATATATTCTCAATTCTTTAATCATGTGCTTAATAAATTTTAACTTTTTATCACTTTTCAATTTCCATAATAATATTAATTATCAATTATTTCTCTTATTCCAAACCAATTAACAATAATATATATGTAATGATCTCCAACTATTTTAATAAATTTTTTTCTTTTTTTTTAATTTCAAAAAAAATAAAAAAAACACCTCATTTCCTTAATTTAAAAAAAATCTCAATTAAATATTTAACCTTAGGCCCAAAGTTATTCCATCGACAATCTTCTCTGGGAACTATGACGGCTGCCCAATCCAAATTGAATTCGCTTCCCAAGCACTAATCGGCAATCCGGAAAGGTTCTCACGCCCAAAACAAAAGAGCCCATGACGTATTCTCTGATGCAAAAGATTCTGACCCTACAATTCAGCGTTTAACAGATGGCCCCGACTCAGCAGACGTGTAAACATATAAAAAGTCCACGTGTAAAAGGCATCTTCACTATCCTAGAAATGCTATGCTGGCTCAACACGCAGGCTAGACCAAGCTGTTAGCCTAGTTTCACAGTCGTATAAATTACGCTCCAAGGTTTTCCTTTTTTAGTTGTAATAATATATTCGATGCTCTGTTCTCCGACGTATCTCTTTCGACGAAATCTTAGTGCGGTTGCTCTTTCTGCTTCTCTGCTTTTGTCTAAGCGTTTATCACCGAGCTCCAAACAAACCCTCTTGAGTTTTCCTCAGATTTCGCCAGTTTCTTTGGTTTCACCGTCAATCGAAACAGGGTTGTCAAGGTCTTTCTTGGGTTGTTTCAGATTTGATCATACTATGGCTGGCCAATCTTCCAAGGGGTCAATCCATGACTTCACTGTTAAGGTTGGTTTGGATATATTTGACTTCAAATTTATGCCCCATGGATAAAAGTTATTTTGACTTCGAATTTAGTTTGTCTTTGATTTATTCCTTTATGCGTTCTTTTCTTTTCTTTTTTCCCTCTGATGATATGAATATTTACTATTTTTTGTATTGCGGTGATTATAGGATGCAAGAGGAAATGATGTTGATCTAAGCATTTACAAGGGCAAGGTCCTCTTGATTGTCAATGTTGCATCACAATGGTACCTCCAACTCTCAGTTTTGGGACTATAACCCAAAAGACTTTTTTCAAGTTTTAGTTGTTCACTAAATCTTTTTTTTCTTTAATAAGGGTGTATTGGATTATATGTCTTTTGATGAACTGATAATGCTGGACTTTGGCCTTTTTCCTTCTTTTTTAACTGAACTTCTAGACATAGTTTTGTAATTTGCTGCTTAAATGTTGATGCAGTGGCTTGACAAATTCCAACTACACTGAGCTGGGTCAACTGTATGAGAAATATAAAGATCAAGGTTTGTTTTAGCATCTTTCTAGCTTTGTGTTTTCAATTAATAGATTACATGTCTACCATCTTTTACCAGAATGCTGAGAACCGAACAGGACCTTCCAGTTGTCAGTTTTTTCCGTGAAGTACGGCTGTAGACAATGCTTGAAACATTCCAGGAATTATTATTTGATTAATTCATTTATTCCTTTTCTCCTAACTCTTTCTACCATATCACTTGTTTCTGTCCTGGGGCAGGTTTGGAGATTCTGGCATTCCCATGTAACCAGTTTGGAGGTCAGGAGCCAGGGAGCAATGAGCAGATCTTAGAGTTTGCTTGCACTCGCTTTAAAGCTGAATATCCCATATTTGATAAGGTATGCTGTTTGAAAATATAATGACAGCTCCGTTTGTACTTGAAAGATAATCTGAAACCAAAGATGGCTTAGGAACGTCTCACCCCAGCTTATGCCGCGCAAGACAAAATTTAGTCTTAAAAATCAAAGCTGTATAAACAGACTCCAGAATTGAACTCAGAATAGGTCAAATATTCATACTCTAGCCTATTGTAGGGTCATCTGAAACCTGAACCATTATTACTGGCATAGCCAGTCTTTTTAGTTAGTCTGCAAAATTCCTTGTTCAGTTTGCCTCGCTGATAATATGGTGTGTGCAAGCCTTTGTGAATGCTTCAATGAAATAGTGAAGTTAATAATGTTTTCAACTTGTAGGATGTACTAACATATCAGATCTTCCTCTCCACTCCATGTGATTTTAGGCATTGTACTTTTCGTTGGAGTTGGGAGTATTTTAGATCTGACTTCATTCTCATGATCTTCATACAGGTTGATGTGAATGGTGAGAAGACTGCTCCCATATACAAATTCCTGAAGTCAAGCAAAGGTGGACTCTTTGGGGACAGCATCAAGTGGAATTTTTCCAAGTTCCTAGTCAATAAAGAGGGCAATGTTGTTGATCGTTATGCTCCCACTACTTCTCCTCTTAGCATTGAGGTAAAAGCCAATTTCATGTATTCTGTTACTAACTTTGAAACATTGAGCAAAGTAATAACTCCTGATTGATGCTGTTTCAATTTTGCAGAAGGATGTAAAGAAACTGCTGGCTTGATGCTGGAAGTTGCTTCCTCAGCTCATAGTGAATAAAGTAGATAATTTTATGAATAAAAAGCTAGTATTACAAGGACGTTTCTCTGTTTTTGTTTCCCAATCTACAAAGATGGGTTAGACTGTACTAGAATTTAGAAGCTGTACCCCTAATTTACTTATGGATAATTACATATTTCGTCCAGATCGTATTTTACATATTTTGGCTAGTACTAGCAACAAAATGCTAGAATCTCATGCCCATTAAGGGGGCAATTCCGTCCAATTTTACATTCTTTGTTTGTTAACGCTACCTGACTTTTAGAGGATCGAGCAACGAAAGGAAACAATTGGGCTTTACCACTAAGCCGTTAAAATGGGCTTATATCAAAGAATTAAAACTTGTACACGTGTAAGCAGATTGAAGCTTCCCAGCATCACAGGGCTGAACGGCAAGCTTCATGGTTCTCTCACTTCACTTCCTCTTCAAAAGATAGTCTTTCTCTTTCCATTTCCTCTCGGACAAGACAAGATTACCCAATGGCAAGCAAAAGCACAAAGAACCCCGAGTCCATCTATGATTTTACTGTTAAGGTTGGTTTGTTCTTGTTCTTTAGTTCTTTTATGTACGCTTTTAAGCTCTTTTATTAAGTTTTCAGTCCATTTACCCGTCCATTGATTCTTTCCTTGTCATGCAATTCCACGAAAGAGAAGCAAAGAAATGAAGGAAAAGAGAAAGTTAGCTACCTTTGTTTGTTCTTTAAGCTGATCATCTTAGATATATATATATATATATATATATATATATATATATAATTGGGAAATTTTGATGGTTGCTTGACTCCTTCCATGTCTTTGGTTCTAAAATTCTAACTTAGGTAGTAAGAGCTGTCTTTGTGGATTACCTTTTGTTAAGGTTGTTTAGTTACTATTTGAAAGACACTAGAAAGAGAGACACATGAGCTAGATTGAAAGACAATTAACTGTGAAGCATGCTGTTTCAGTCTCTGGCTCATGTTCATTTCCAGAAAAGGATTAAGAAAAGAATATTATGTGTATTTTTTTTTCAATTTAGAATATTCAGGAAAAGAAGAAATATTTATATGATCCTTTTCCTTCCGCTGACAGGACGCTAAGGGAAATGTTGTGGACCTCAGTGCTTACAAAGGAAAAGTGCTATTGATTGTTAATGTTGCTTCCAAATGGTATCTGCTTTCTTATTCTGTGATCAATATTGGACGTCTCTTCTTTGCAACTGAGCCAACTGATAATGATTTATAGCCATCAGTTTCTCAGTCCTTTGCTCCCTTTCATCCTTGTTATTTGTTTCTTTCACCAATTAGGATCTATATTTCTGATTCTCTGTTTGGTTGTTTGTGGCAGTGGAATGACAAACTCAAACTACACAGAACTGAATCAATTACATGAGAAGTATAAAGATCAAGGTTTGCATTTTGAACCTTTGAGTTTGCCCCATGCCTGAACTGTTTAATACACTAATAATAATTTAAAACAATAGCCTGAACTGTTCCCTTATGTGGGCATGTATTTCTTGAACTTCTACTAATATTCTGATGTGGGTTAGACTGTGGAGTATTGGGATGAATGAATCCCCCTTCAAAGATTATATTGTCATCGCATCGCTTGCACAGACTCAATTTGCATTTGTTTCTGTAAAAGGCTTGGAGATACTGGCTTTCCCATGCAATCAATTTGGTGAGGAGGAACCAGGATCAAATGATCAGATTGCTGAGTTTGTTTGCACCCGCTTTAGATCAGAATTTCCCATCTTTGACAAGGTAGATTGAGAAACCAAAATCATGCTGCACTTTCTGTACTGTTGAAGCTTAGTTAAACTTGAGTATTGTTGCTGGTGACCATATCCTACAGCTCTTGGATTTAGCAGGTCTAAACTTTACATATTGAACTGAGGATTTTTAGGCATAGTTGATGATCAGCTAACTAGCCTGATTGGCATACTTTAAGTACAAAACATGTAACATGCTTGCAACATACATATTTAATTGATTCAATCTTTTTTGAGAACTCTGCCCATGAACGGTATGGATCTAATGTGCAAAACTTTATTGAACCATATCTCCTTGTTGTTCTGGTATTAGATTGAAGTAAATGGCGATAATGCTTCTCCACTGTACAACTACTTAAAGTTAGGCAAATGGGGAATTTTTGGAGACGATATCCAATGGAACTTTGCCAAGTTCCTGGTCAGCAAGGATGGCCAAGTTGTTCATCGTTATTACCCCACCGCTTCTCCACTTAGTCTTGAGGTGAAACTACTTTTGCCATTCTCATGCTTCAAGTTCCTTTTTGGCATTTCATATTGAGGTACTGTTCTTATACGAAGTGAGTTAAATCTTTAGCTTTATATGGTGTTATTGCAGTATGACATAAAGAAACTATTGGGGCTTGGCCAAGAATGATTAGTGAGAAAGAGGAGGGAGGATGAAGCTGTCACACTAGTGCTGAGAGATATAAGAGTTGCAGAATGCCATGTGAGAAAACTTTGGTTAAACGGGGACCCAAAACTCAGTGTATTATTTATCAGATGTAAGACTTGCCTTTATCTACGTTCTTTTTATGTGAAACTAGCTGATAGTGACCTGTATGGTGGTCGACCTCTTTAATTATTTGCAATTTGGCTTTCCGCGAATACTCTCTGCTGTGGTTGTAGATGGATTCAATATGTTCAACATTTGAACTGGTTGTCACTGAAACAATGAAATTCCCCCCACCAAGGGAAGCATCAGTCATTACTTACTCGCGGAAAATTTGAGCTTAACCTGAGGTTGGGAATTGATTTTCTCTATAATACAGAGTTTAAAATGTAGCATTTGGTATATTACCAGGTCCAACTCTATCGATCTCATGCTACATTGTCCTCAATCCTATACATATCCTAAACCCGTGGTGTTCCCACCTGGGAAATGGTATGAACCACAACGCCATAGAGTTCAGCTTAAATTTGTAGATAATCAATTACAACACAATCCAATGGCCAAAAATATGGCAACCATTGTTTGCTTGAAATACTGGTTACCCTTAAAATGGGCATCTCTTCCAGCTACATATTAACGTTCCTTCAGCTCAAACTACATAATTTTTCAACAAGTTTACTAGTGACACTAGAGAAACTCAGTGACTTTGTTACAATCTAAGTTAGCACAAACCAATTGCCCCTATTGGGCGAATTGGGAGGATTTTAAATTTTCATACTTCTCAACGATTCAGCACATGTACAACAACACATATGTACAAAAATACCCTGATCATCCTCGCGTCAAGTCAATATCTGTGTGAGGGTTTCTCGGATCAACATGCCGTGAACCAGGCCAAACACCCATAGAAGGGTGACTGAAATTTTGAGTTGAAGGTGCACCAGTTTGTGTAGCTGATTTATTGCTGAGCTGGGGTAGGGAATCCTTACTGCCTTTTGGGCTGGAGAGTTGTTTGTTCTTGGTTTTAGATCCTCCATAGACAAAACTGCATACCACCAGCTGCGGCAAGTGTATAATGCATTAGAAAACTCAGATGAATAAAATTCATGCCACAGCCTCCACCAGTGACCCACTGCAACATAGAACAAAATTCACGTTGCACAAATAGATTTTGGTACCCCTATTCAAACTCACTAAACCCAACCAGTACTCACTAAAAACATCATACTAGGATATAGATTCTCCGTTCTTACATGCATGCAAACAAGAACCTCTTCAGACTCAACTAATTTTACCAAGCACTCAACCACGCACATCTCCTCCAGTATGCACACCACCGGACATAACAAGCTAGAATATCTAAATAACACAGTGCTACATGCACTGTGCATGCCATATCACTGTGCCCAAAATCTTCCCTCTGGTACTATTTTTTAAAATCAAAAGTCAACAATAGCAATAAGACTTGCATGCTACGAAGCTCAACATCATATGTAAGCAACTACAGTCATAAGTAAAACTTATGAGGAACAAAAAAAATACCTGAACTAGGCTTGATGCAATCAAGGTTGCAACCCCACCACCTATGACATGACCATCAGGTGTAGAAAGAGAAGCACTTATGCCACCTGTTCGACTGCGGGGTCCACCATCCTCAGCAAGCAAGTAAGAACCCGACAAGCATAATATCTCAAAACGGCCCTAAGAAAAGCTAAAACAGATCAAATAAGTTTCCTCCAAGCTGCACAAATATCATTAAAGGTTCAAAAGGATAAATGCATAAAATGGAAAGGTCAATTGTGTTCCAAAAACTTGCACTATGATCTAAACCTATGGAAATTAAAAACTTGTTCCTTTTTGTCAAAGACTAAATAGACCCAAGAAAGATGCTATGGCTAATCAACTAAGGAGACATCATAAGCTAAAATGCAGGCCATTGAAAACACACTAGGGACTTCGTTTGCAGAAAAGTATCACCTTATCTATGACGTGTGACAAAGACATTGAAGTGTAATTCATGTCTCTCTCCACCTCTCTCATGTAGAGACATATGCACAACCCCCAACACTAACTCACTTTGCTCATAGAGCATTTGACTTTGTTTGCAAAGCTAAGCCAACCTTTAACCAAAAGCTCTTTCCATATCTTTGAACCCCAGGCCCAGGTGAATGTTGAATTTCGAAATCAAGTCCAAATTCATCCTGGCAGTTATGTTTTTGGAGCTAGACCACCATCCTATGCTTTCACAAGTAGTACTAACTAAGCAGAGAACCACTAAGCACTATGAACTCACGTTTAGAGGTACTATAAGCCTGTAAGCATAAGTATACATTACAAAACAGAGTGATGCGCATAAAGTCCATGTACAATAATATGAAATGCACAAACAAACAAAAAAACAAAACAATACATAATTCAGGCTACTATGATTTTGAAAAATGTATTTAAACAGGATGGCAAGAAACACATGGAATTTGTGTGCCACATTTCAAACCGCAATTCTAAGAATTCGAATAAAGAAGCTACCAAAGATGTTCTGGCATTCAAAAGGTCATGGCATACAAAGTTTTACAATTTTTTGTAAAAGTAAAAACAAAAGGAGCATTGAGTGCCACAACCTCATACGTCACAGTAGGAGTAGAAGATGCAGGCTGACGAAGAGTTACTGAGGAAACTGTACCACTGCCTGATAAGATACAGACAGCCCTTGGCCGCTGTTGAGAAAAGGACAACATTTTTGCGACAATGTCCTGAAAAAGAAGATAAAATTGCACATTCCCAAGTCAAGATTTAGTTCTACATGCCTAGGAAATTGCAGATGCTATTTGCAACTAAATCATATAAGTTAACACATTAACATTAATCTAAACCATATATGAGGGCTTATGTACATAGTACACAAATTCGTAGGGGCTCATGTTTACTTGAAGTGGGGACAACAACTCACACTCACAGTTCAGAAGTGCAAAAAGAATGATGCCACTGTGTGAAAGTTATCATTATGCAAAAATCAATGCCCTTTTGAACAAGTTAAACAATGTTGCCTGTTAGGTTTCCCCACCACTAAATGAATTAGTCATTACAAGCTGGTCCAGAAGAGAGATAAAAAAATGAGGTTTCCTTATTAGGAACAGCATCACAAGAATGGACAGTAACACAGTGGACTAATGTGAAAATGCATGAATTGTGTAGTCGTCTTCATCTATACTTTTCAAATTCATATCACCTAAACGACACATACATTGAATATGGGCATGCTTGTAATCACCATACAACTGCATGAGCTGTTAACTCCAATAAGTATTTAAGTGTATTATCCTAAAGGTTAGTCAAGCATATTGCCATCTATCTCAGCCTTCTTACTCTCAAAATTCACAAGGAGGGGATCACAACTCCATCTGCATCGAAGTCACAAGAATTACAGGCTTCAACTAAATCCTAGAAAGCAAACATTACAGGCTCAGTAATGCATGTTTTGTAGAAAAGATCTTTGTGTTCAAATCATCTATCCCAGTAGCTATATTATAATTAAAGCTATATTCTTATTAACGTATTCAACTGCAAACCAAGTAAATTCAAGATCATTCATATTGTGTATTAAATGTGAAACAAACTAGAAAGATGTAGCGTACTTCTCCGATTCCAACAGTGACAACATGAGGTGCAAAGGCCAGTCCTGCTGAACTGTTCATCCATTCACCTATATCAGAAACAACTGAACGTTTAAAGACAAATCCAGAAACCAAGTAGCATATTTCGCACCACAGGTGGTTATAAAAGCATTCTATTCTACTTAACATTAAATTCCAAAAAATTCTAGCCTATCCTCATGATTCTTACAATGTAAGTATGAGCAGAAGCAGCCAACAGAACTAGGGTAAAATACATGCAAGAAAAGATGTAATTAGCTGTTACTGCACAGATAACATAATAGGCGACATCAAAGATGCATTGCAGCCTAAAACTATCAGATCACTGAGCATAATAATAAAATCAAAGCTTAAAGAGGCACAGAACTATTTCCTACCAAAAGATCCTAGCTGTAATCCAATTAAAACGTCAAAATCCAAAAAAAAAAATCCAACCTAGAGTGGCTAATTGCTGCTTCCGCCCAGTCCCAGGAGGCCGGCCTCTGCATCTTTTTTGGCCAGAAGCATCTGATCCTGATGAAGGCTTAGGCTTGGCAGGCATAGGCAAAAGTCCCAATGAAACCTGCCCATCAGGAGCATATTTTCGGGGCCTCCCTCTCTTCTTCTTTACCGGCTCGCCCGGTGGCATCCCAGAGGACACACCCATGTTAATGCCATGAGGAAAACTGACGTTTTTAGGCTCTCCTGTAAATGTTGATCCAACATTTGACTGAACCTGAACCTGAGGGTTAGATAAGGGCCTGAACCCCGGTTGGGAATTAAATGCTGCTATACCAGTGTGTGTTACCGAGCCAGAACTAGACCCACCAACCGCTCTATGAATATAATAAGGAGTTGACCCGCCTGATAATGCCATAGCTTCTCTCCCATCCATGCATTTACTATTGAAGAATTAATCACAATTTAAGCAGAGAAAATAAAAAAGACTCTGTTTTTGGCACCTAAAAGTTGTTTCTTTAAAGCCTTTTAACCCCAAATAATAAACTGATTAAAAATTGTAACGAAGAAGAAGCACAAAAAAGGAAGCTCTGACAAAAGGGTTTTACCAGGGTTTTTCAATAAGTAGAGAAAATAGTCTAACAACAACAGAATTTGAAACCTCTGCTTCAAAGAAGCCCCTTTGTAACCCTAAATCTTCTAAAGCAAAGAGAATGATGTTCAAAGACAGGGTTTTTCAGGGGTTTCTTCTTTAAATGAGTATAATTTAAGAACCCCAAGACGCTTCAATCGAAACCCAGATAAACAAGAGCAACAACAAGAGTTAGAGGTTAAATCTTTTCACTCTACAAGAACCCATCACTAAAGTTAGCTCTTGAGCAACAAAAAGAATGCTGAACAGCAAGGGCTCAAAGACCCAGACAGACTAGAAACTCCTAACAAGTTCTTGCACTCAGAGCCCCGAACTCATCAAGAAAAACAAAACCCTAGATTTTGAAAACCTAGGGTTTTGAGAAGAGAAATGCAAGAACAAGGAAAAGAACGAAAAGAGAAGAAAGAAAAAAAGAAAAGAGTGACAGAAAGAAAGAAAAGACAAAGAGGAAAAATGATTTGAAAAATGAAGAGCTTTTGAATTAAAGGTGTATGAGGTAGAAGACCTTTCTTTTCCCCTTTTTTTTTTTTTTAAAATAAAATTGTTTCTTGGGGTTGTTTAGTAAAGAGTCAAGTCGGGGGTGTTCGTATTCTGACCAAAGACTTTAGAAAGAGTTGAGTGATGGTATTGGGAGGGACAGTGAGTGGCCCACAAAAAGTACCCCAAAACTCCCTTACAGTGTGTATGTCCTTATCAGATTGCCATTCCTTAGGGCAGTGAGCCCCTTATTTTTTTCCCCTTCTTTTTGCATCAAAGAAGAGTACTTTGTTTTGTTTTCTTTCTCTGCTTCAATTGAGTGTCCATCTGGTGATGGCTGCTTTTTCTGGTTTTGGTTTTTCCATTCAGTACTACTAACACTACCCTGATGAAAACTGAGCCAAGGAGTAAGATAGAGATGGTCAAGGAATCCAAACAACAAAGCCTCTAAAAGAGGGAGAATGCCCATATATTTATTTTATATAATATTATTATGAGGAAAAAGAAGGATGTGAGGTAACCAAGGAACCATTTTGCTTCACAACAAGGAAAATAACGTTGGTCTTGGTTTCTTAGAAGGGTTTGGTGGTATTCAGCCCAGAAGAGAAAGTGCCCTCAACGATGTCGTTTTAGATTTGACATCTTATTGGAAAGCTGCCAAGTGACAAGTAGTGGTATAAACATGTAAGTCCACTTTCAGATAAGCTGAGGTCCTTTTAGGCCAGCTGTAATTTTGGATGCCATGGCTGGGCTACTGCCTTTCCCAATCGTATTTCTCAGTAACTCTGGGTGTACCACTTTTTTACACGAGAAATGGTTTGAAAAGTGCTACTTCCAAGCTTCAAGATATAGATTCTACCACCCAAAGACAAGGATCTGTCCACTGTAAGCTCTCACGCTTAGCATATTGCCCACGAATATAACACAGTTAGTAGAATTTAAGTCAAGTGAACACTGAGCAAGTAGAGATTGTTAGTCCAGACTTAGCAAAAATCATATGCATCCAAAGGCTCAAAAAAATTGTACAGCTACCTAATTAATAAACCTGCAGTGATACACAAGATTAAGATATTAGGAGTACAATTACTGACAGAAACATTTAATTTTGCTATGCCAGAGCTGTTATGTCAGAGCGTTGGCAATAAAATGTTTTTTTTTTCAGAACTTGGAGAAGGTGAACCAGCATCGGGCAAACAGCCAAACTCCAGCAGCACTTTTTACTCACAAAGCTAGGATGCATAATAGAAACAGATGACATAACGTACAGACCCATTTGATAAGGTCTCATCCAGCTGTTTCCAACTTTACATTCTTCTTCCCATAATCCAGGTACGTCTGCCGAGTGCCAATTACCAGAAAAATGAAGATCTATACATTTTACGTTAAAAGCAAGTTTGACCACTGACTCAAATCAAAAGTTAGAATAATTTGGTTCAGCATCTCAAACATTATCATTTCCCAATAGAAGATCACCAGTAGCACTTTTGGTTCATTGAATAGATGAAAATAAAATAAAATAATTATTATACAAAAATATAATAAAATAATAATAACATATAATTGTTATTACGTAATTTAATATTAGGAATAAAAATAATTAATATAACTTATTACAATATTTGATTGACAACAATAACTTTGGAATAAGAAAAAAATAAAACTACCCTTTATTATATAATTAATTATTTTATTTTATTTTTAAATATTAATATTTTATTTATAATATAATCATTAACATTATAAAATACTAATATTTTATTTATAATTTAAATGTTATTATGTTTTTTTATTTTTAAATATTTATAATTTACAATTTATTTAAAATATTCAAAATTGATAGCTTAAATATTAATATTTTGTTTATACTTTAATGATTAATATTAAAAATAATAATATTTAATTTATAATTTAAATGTTATTATGATTATTTATTTTTATTTAATTTGATCTTTTAAATATTAATAATTTATATTTTTTAAATATTAATAATAGATTATTTAAGTATTAATATTTTATTTATAATTTAATAATTAATATTATAAAATACTATAATTGGTAATTTAATTTATAATTTAAATATTATTATGATTAAAATATTAATACTTTTAATTAATTTTTAAATTCAAAATATTTTATAATATATAATTAATAACTTAACCTCTTTATTATAATAAGATTTATTTTTTCTGTATTTGCATTTTTTTTTTTTTAATTTATATTTTCACTTAATAATTTAAAGATTAATATTTTAAAATATTATTATTTTATTTATAATTAAATATATTATAATTAAAATATAAAAAATTAATTTTTTAATTTTTAATTTAAAATATTAATTTTATAAATTTAAGTTTGTAATTTTTAAAAATAAATAAGGACATTTTAATCTAAAATGTTTGGACTTTACTCCCATGGTGTGGACTAGCTAATATCATGAAAAGGTGGTATTAGCTATTCCAAGCTTTTATCAAATTTTGAAGAATAGTCAATCCTTTTTGAAACAGAGGATTCTCCCAACCAAACATGTCGTAAAAACTTTAACATGCCTGAAAGGCTTCTCCTCCGTCATTTTTGACGTGTGGGATTCTAATATAATTCCCTCGATTGCCAATCAACAGTATACCTTATTTATGATTTGAATGAACTCAATGCCTTTAAACTAACAATTCTAAAGTTAAGACACGTATAAACAAGAAACTTATCAAATTTGCCTAGGATGGAAACTAAGAAAATACCTGAAGAATCTGAATAGCAGCAAACTTGTCAACTATAGTTTTCGATACTATTGGGTGCAAGTTCAAAGGCTTTAGCAGCAAATCCGCATTCTGTTGAAAAGACAAACTATGAGATTCCTTACTGCTTGTCATATATTGCTGCAGCAATGAGTTTATGCTATGCATCCAGGATTAACAACAATATATTTACATACATGAAAATGAAAGAGCACGAATCTTATTTGACAATTAATTAAACCCTTGTGCATGTATTTCAGGTCTACAAATCTACTCACGTAAGAAAGATTGTGAATTATGCAGCTTTAACATTTTGAAGTTTCTATGAGATAGCCACGAGCACCTACCTTTGATGTAAAGCACTCATTCCAAAACGTGTACTTAACTCCATCAAGCTTTCCTGTTTTAGACAGGTCATCGATGAATAGCTTCACTTGTACAGCCTGATCAAAATCAAAAACAAAAACAAGATTTAGGGAGCAAATTAGAGATTATGTGACTGAACATAAGATAAATGCGCACGTCAGGAGCACGTTGTCGTCTGTCAAATGGGTAGCCAACAATGAAGCCCACCAAAGAAAGTTCAGAGATCTGCATACAGGCCAGAGCAAAGATGATCAAGAGTTGTGACAGAAGATAGCTCAAAGTTCAATAACGATCAGCATTATCCCTGGCCTCAGATGTATGCATAACTCAGCTCATACCAGTTGTTCCCTTAATACATCCATGATATATTTTGCAAACAGAAAGCAAGCTAAGTTCTGTTCCAGTTGTCCAATGAAACAAATAAACAATATTAGCTACAACACGATCATGATTGCATTGACCACAGGTTGATTTGAAAAGATTTGTGACCCAAAGGTGCATTATTATTATTATGATGTTTAGGTCCTTCTAAGGAAGAGACATCATGGGACTCCTTGACTGGGAAAAAAAGGAGCATCCAAAGCTAAGGATTAACAAATGAAAGAGCACAACTCCCTTAAAAGATTCCACACAACAATGTATCGGCATAGAAGCAGTCACAGAGTACACAAAAGTTCCAGGTACGGACAACTTCACCAAACACAAATCAAGCAAAAGAAGAAAAGGACTTTGTTGAACTTACATCATCCAAGCAGAACTCACACTAGGGCCCACATCTGCAACCCCAACTTCACAAAAAGAAAGGAGGAGAAAGATAAACAAAGAGACGTACTCCCACCTAATACCATAATCCAGGAAAACAAAAACTAGGTTCTCTTTCCAGTCCACCTCCTCCACCCTAAACATCCCGCCCTGCTAATTCACTGACAACAAAATCTTGGGGTATTACATTTACATGTATTATCTTATTATCCTTAACTAGTACCATGAGACTTGTTCTTCCTTGTAAAAACTCTTTAAGTAAATTAAATTTTAATTCCAAGAATGAAGAAAGAAAATTGAACCAAACTCACCAGGATTTGAAAATCACTAGCCATCAGATCAATATTTGTTTTCTTCCGAATCAAAACACTGCATAGATGCATAAAAAAGACAAACATTAATCGGCTTTCTAATGGTTCTATATTAACAAGCATCACCAAAATAAAGCACTTCAACATTTTTTACTTATTTGATGATACCGGGACTACGAATGATGAATTCTATACTGAGACCCTCAAAGCTTGTTTCAACATTGAGACCCAATAGTTGAAAAATACTTGAGATCAGCCGCATATAAAAAAAAAAAAAAAACCCGTACCTTAAAGGTGTGGCAATTTTGTTATCGAGGTCTGAGACAGCTAGTCCAACATACTTATCACCGACATCTAAACCAAGCAACCGTCCTCGTTCCAATGCTTTTGCTTTGAGCAAATCTTGGAAAAAGTTTACACACTTTACATACTGCATCTGTCTATCTATAAAATCATGAAATCAACATTAAGGTTAGATATTATCACATTAAAAGACAAGACTAAACGAAAAAGAATTCAAATAAACATTTCCTCAAACACCTTAAGAGCAGTCACAAAGCTAGTGGCCTAGCCATTCCATATTGAGGTAACCCAACTAGCCAAAATAGAACGGGAAACGGGAAGGAAGCAGACTGGCCAACTTACAGGAAAAAAAAATAGCGTCTTTGTAATTTGGGAACGCAGCAGAAGAAGACACGCAAGCAAAAACGCTACGCTTTCCTTTTCAGGTAACGCCTCACCGCTCTTACGCAATAACTGACCTTTACCTACGCTAAGCGTACTGCAGCTTCGGCAGCTCAAAACGCAACGTTTTTTAAGTGATTGAGTTCGCGCTCAGAATTTAATAGATTAATTAATAATTAGGGTAACTGACCCTACTTCTTACTCCTCAGATTCTGCTTTTTTTTTATTATTATTTTTGGAAAAGCCTTAGCTTCTGGTTATAATTCCATGCAGTCTATTAGTATTTGACTTTAACAGAGTCCACACAGTCTATTCTTATTTGATTTTTAATAGTTTATTTGATTTGATTTTTTTAATTTAAAATTTATTATGAAATTTTAAAAAAAATAATTATTTTTAAAATTAAATTAAAATTGTATGATAAATTTATTTTTATAAATTTTTTTAATAAATAAATTATTTAGTAAAATAATTTTTATATATTTTAATTTTAATTAAAATTATCAAATAAATAGAGGAAAAGAAAGTTTCTTTTAAGAGAGTAATATTATGATTATTTTTAATAAATGAGCACATTTTTAAAAAAAATTTAAAAAATTGACATAATTTTTAAAAAAAACTCCTTTCATGACCTTTTTCTAATTCTTTAAAAAATATATTTTTTTAAGAATATTTATGAGTCCTATTCGACTCAACTTCAAAAATAAATAAACTGAAGAAGAGCTCGAATCAAACAATCATATGACATCATTTATCCTAATAATTAATTAATAAATAAAATATCTTCATTATCTTAAGTTTTGATTATAATTCTACAAAAATCTATTAATAATAAAAATAAATCATCTATTTAAAAAAAAATTATTTCACTAGACACATAAGTATAATTGTTAATTAATTATTAATATTTTTATTAATTTGATAAAATAATAATTTTTTTCAAACAAATTTACTTTTTATTAAATTTAAAAATTATTATTATATAAATTATAATTTTTAATTTTTAAATTTTTTGTATTAAAAAAAAATTCTACCGCCAGATGATCGGTGGTCCTTTGAAGGGGCGAGTGGTGCTCCCCCACAAAGCACCAATACAGTGCTCCGTTGTAAACGGCCGATTGTGCTCTCCTGAGGAGTCGAAACCAGTGATCTCCAAAGAAGTACTGTCGGATCTGACATTGCACTACCAGCTCTGGCATCGATTAACTTGGAAAAATAAATATTTTAAATATTTTTAATTTAAGTATTAATGTCATTTATCTAAGACGAAATGTTTATTTTCAAAACTAATTTAAATTATAATCAAAATTTGTAAGGGTAGAGTATTTCTAGACTCAACCCTTCTATGTCTCTCGTACTTTCCCTGCTGCTGCTTTTGCAGTTTTGTTGCTTTCTAGTGATTACTTACTTCCTCCGACCTCTCCCCTAAAAAACCAAACCTAACCCTAACCGTGATTCCTACCAAATGGCGAGAACCAGAAGCAAACGGCGTAACCCATACTTGTCTTCTTCGCCACCACCAAGTGCAGGCTCTAAGATTGAGGTGGTTGCTATTCCTTCTTCACCGGAACAGAAGGACACGATTATGTTGCCGTTATCAAACCTCCACCCTCTGAAGAAGCCAGCCAATGGATCAACAATCAAAACTCAACTCTCGGAGAATTCACGCGAGAAGTACGCGGCCGCCGTGCAGTTGGTGAAGGAGGCACTGGCGACAGACCTGACGTCGGGGAAGAATCAGGATGTGGACTCACTGATGGACGTAGCCAATAAGGCGTTCACTTCGCTGGATGGGCTACAAGCAGATTACGAGGATTTATACAAAGCCGTTGAGGATTTTATCACGGGAAAAATGCGAGTTTCGGTAATGGAAAATGAGGTGGCGGAGAAAAAAGCTTTGGTGGGGATTTTATCTCAAAGCGATGAGATATGCGCTAAAGTGGAAGATGTGATGAAGGTACAAGAAAAGATCGAAATTGAGTTGTGGAATGCGACCAGACAGATTGGTCCTTTGAGAGAGAGGATTCAGGGGAAGAAGACTCTGTTGGAAGAGTTAGAACAGGAGCTGAAGACCAAAGGAAATTGCATTAACGAGCTGAAACAGAAATGGGCTGATGTTGGGGCGTCTCATGCTATCTGATAGCTGAGAGGGAGAATATGGCTCAGGAGGCTGAGGCGCGAGGAGAGTCTTGGCAGATGTTTATCGGCGCCGGGATGAGGCGAGGCTGCGATTGAAATGGCCAAGGATGGCTTGTACAGCTGCCTAGGCTGACTCTTCTCAAGCGTAAATATTGCTCTAAATTAGACTAAAATAGGAAATGATCTGAAACACCCTCTTCAATCTAGGGTTCATTTGATTAGTATTTTTTATCTTAATCACCATTTCCCCTGTAGAATGTCTTCACTTTCTTTCCGTAAGGCTTTCTAGCTAGCCTTCAAAACATACAACCTCTCTTTCTTCGATACGACTGCACAATACCTCCTCTGATATAAATAAGTACCAACTGGAACTTGGTTATAGCTAATTAGCTTAATAAACCTGATTTTTTATGTCAGGGAAGTCACATTTGAAACCAAATTATAGAAGCAATCAATGCGATTAGAAGCAAGAAACCAGGACAAGGTGACAATTGCCGATCATTGATTATTGGGCTGGCAAAAATTACAGGGCTTAAGCCACAAGAATCAATTGAATCAATGAAATGATCGCTAACTGCTAAAATTGAGTTGCTACGTGCTAACGATCTATTGTTGTGATGGTGATTGTCTATGGAAAAATGAAGAAAGGCTATCAAGCTCAGCACGTTTTTTAGCTACTCTTCTAAAAGGCTTCCGATTTCGCCACCACAAACGATCTATCCCATTGGAACGACCAAAATTACCATCCCTATTTGTAATTGCAAGCATTTTTTGAGTGCGACTACACTCGGATTTCTTCAGCCCATTCTTGGTTTCGCATGTCGAGGAGAGGGGGTTTTCGGCTCCACAGATTTCGCATATGTTGATCTGTCAAGTCATGAAAGAAAATGCTATCATGTAGATAACTTGAGACATGATAGAGAAATATTTGAGATGATAATTCCATTCTAAAACAATGGCTAGGTCCTCTACATTTGCAATGCTCCATCAGTAGAAGGTCAAGAAAGAAATTATGCTTATTCCTGAATACAAAAACTATTCCTAAGTCGAAAATTTACTGGGGCGCTAATAAGAACTAGTGCTATAGACACAATTACAGAAATAGATTTTGTATGTATTAAGTATAACATAAATACCTTCTCAAGCAATCCATAAATCAAGAATAATGCAACAATAAATTCCATTAACATACCTCTCATGATCTGATGGACGTAAAGTGAACACCAGGTTTTCAGTCCCAGGCATACATGCTGCACAGATATAAACCTTTGGTGGGTAAAGTAATTTAACACATTTACTGTGGTACCACTCACCACACTGACCACAAGCAATCATTGATCTCTCATCATAGGGCTTTCGACAAATGCAATAAAGCATACTTCGAGCTCTTAATAACTGCATTAAGAAAACAATACATAATTGCATCAAAAAAGTTTGCACTGTTCAGTTGTAGAAAGATGTGTTTTTACCTCAAGTCTCCTTTTAAGCAAACTGGCAAACTTTCCCCCTCTGCAATAAGTTCATAAACTCCATCTAAGCCAAGTGCCCCAGAATCTGCTGCAACCTGTACAGAAAACAGACATGCTAAATTGTGGGCCATGGCTAATTTAGAGTAGCACACACATGCAAACAGAGAAAGGATGCCAACCTTCTTAGCACGATCTGCCCACTGCAATCCAATGTCCTTCAATTCAGAAAGTTTCAGTCTGAAGTAATCTTCAGGTAAAATGTTCATCGCCTCTCCCTACCAAAAAACCATCTTTAGATGAATCACACACAAATGCAAATACCTTCATGATGTCAATGACATATACATCCAGAAACACCGCTAAACAATTAGAGAGACAATGTCCGTGGTTGAAAAGAAAATCGGATGGAAACAATACAAAGTCATGTGATTTTTCTCTCCCTTCTAACAATTTACATAATGTCAACCTAGATAATTTGCTTAATAGTTTTAGAAAGCAAATTAACCTACTGCAAAACTATATGAAAAGTGAAACATTAATAGATTATCAACACGGATTTAGATAAGACACAATCAATATTTTAAACTGCAGGGCTTCAGTCTTCAAGAGCATGAAAGAATCTGAAACGGGCAGAAATGGAGACTAACAGTTTATATTTGATACCAGCCAGAACTTTATAACCATGGATTGTTTCTTTTTTTGAAAGTTTATAACTATGGTTTGTTGTTGTCATTTCCATTTCATATCTTAAGTACACGAGCAAAAAAGTTAGAGGCAGAAATTACGTCAATCTCAGAGGGGAACTTGATTAACACTGTCTCATCTCATTTGAATGAGCTAGAAAAGTTCAAACGAATAATTCTATATTAAAACTTAAAATGGTTTAAAAGCCAAGCATATTCCAGTAGTACATACCTCTTTCAGGTGCCGTTGAATCTGTTGGATTGAAGGCTTCTCCAAACCCTTCTCTAAAGCATCTAACAATCTAGAAACTCGGACTCTCCATGAGTGTCTTGCTAATGCCCGCTCAAGATCACAATAACTTTGATGATCATATACACCTGCCACTCCAATAGCCTGTCCCAGAAAACCAAATTAACTCAGAGGGATCATTTCAATTTTCAATGCTTGGTAAGAGCATTTCATGTCCAAAAATAGTCTATATTCTGCCTTAATAAAATATATGAAGATGATAAAACCAGATGACAACAGGGAGAAAAGAGAGAACCTTCAATGCAGTAGTGAGTTTTTTGCCGACAACACTGAGATGTTTATCATAGTAAGACATTTCAAAATCCACTATCTGTGTCAAGCATGTTCTGCAAGCATAAGCTTGGTCCACAATTTGTTGTAATTTATCTCTCTCTTCAATCCTGCAACATTTATGCAACAAAAGTAAGTATTTAAATTCAAAAATTGGAAATATAAAAAACCCACTAAAGTGATAAATAAAACTAACAACAAATAAAGGATATTTCATATTCTTCAATTGTAGATATTTCATATCCTGCAAAAATTATAGGACAAGGACTTCCAGTTTATGGAAAACAGTCAAGGCAAATACCAATTGGCAATCAGTTTCAAGTGAAAGTGAAACAATTAGTTATTATTACATATGGACTTTTTTTCCAAAACCCCAAATAGAAACATAGAACCCTCGGTTGCACATGGAAGAAAAATTCCTTCCAATGTTTTTTGCTTAGCTTCATAAACGATTTCCACGTTCTTCCGGCATCTCTATAAGTTCTCCTAAAAAATTTTGTTTCAATAGACAAAACCCACTATCATAATTGATAATTCCAAATTTTTACAGGGACGAAAAAGTAAAACTATAGTAGATTAAAACATAATTTTGAAAATCAATCACACATTTTATACTGGACGCTAGAAAATAGCATTTAAATTATCACTTGTATACCTTACACAAAAGTTTTCATCAATAGATACAAGTTCAGATAGAAGCTTCACGTCCGAATACTTGCCATTATGCCTCTGTGCCAAGCAAGGGAAGCTGTTAATAGATTTACAAGCTTCTACTAAAAGACAATTCAAACAAATTAAAATGCATACCAAGATGCCACCTCCTTTGTTAGGTATTGATCCACCCATGAGAAGCTGACAATAAGAGCATACATACACTTCAGCATGATTTCTGCATCCTATGCACTGCAAATGGTAGCTGTTCATGGAAAAGATACCAAAAGGATGAGATGAACAGGGCATATCAATTACAACTGATATTAAAAAAATTGGGGACGCTAAAGAGTGAGCATACAAAATAAGGAGAATATGGAACTATAGACATAACAACACAGCAAACTCTATATAATTTAAAAGTGAGAAACAAATAAACAAGTAGGAAAACTTTTAACACCAAACAAATACCTTACCAGTCCTTGCATGTTGAACATGCTAAAAACTCCAAATCTTCAGAACCATTTGCACAGCACATACAAAGACATACTCCTTCACAACCCTGTGACTTTTCATATGCATACAAAGATCTATCGAGGGACTCTTTGATCTGGAGAATGTTGGCAAAAATTCTTTAAGGCACCTAATAAGAAATGATTTCTTCAAATTTCTGAAACACAAAAATGATTATAGGACCAAAACCTTCTGTAAGGCACCAAGCAGTGTGTTCTCATCTCCAGCAAAGTTTGCTACAGCATCCATGCAGCGTTGCTTCCACTTTTCAACCTTTTCAACTTCAGACAAGACCATATCTAGCTCTGCACATGTAAAAAATGAAGCTTTCCCATGCTCCTGCATGTGAAGTTTATAAGAAATCAAATCATCACTTCTAAGCTTAAATAATATAAAATACATACCAACTTTTTAGGGGAAGCTAACCACAATAAGCATCAGCGATAAAGCCAAAATTTCCAGTTCAAACAAGACATTCCAAATTCTCAAATACATAACAAGCAAAGCCAGGTTTTTAAACAATTTATTACTCTCACAAGACTAGGAACCAACAGGAAAGAGAAAAGATGATTTCATTGTAAAATGCCATTCCTTTCAAAATCATAATGTGAAAAGAGAATAAAAGACTAACATGTGATTAAATTTATTCGGGGAAAAAGTTACATGCAGTAGTTTTTTCATTTTTAACTTTCCTAGAAAAACTTTACTAAATAAGATTAGCGGCAAGATTGAGTATTACATGAAGAACCACAATATGAGACATAGAGCAAATATTAACAAAAGACTCAAGAAAAACAGTAAAGTGTGATATGTAATATCAATAATTCCAGCCCAAACTTTTCCCAGCACACATCCATGGCATACCTTGAGCTGCACTATTTGAGACCAAGACCGCTCCGCCAACTCTAAACCAAAAAACTGATGCACTTGTTCTTGCCACAACCTACATTTACAGTTAAACAAATAATCAAGAATTAACACAAATTGCATCTCTATTATCAAGATGAAAGCCATACAAGATGCCACAGCAACAAGCATGCATGTACACATGCATATGTACAGATTATCACAATTCACCACCTTCAAACCCAAAGCAAAGGCAAAGAAACAAAAACCTTATCATCAAAACAAGAAGAATATGTCTTTAAGGCTGCACTTAAGCCGTAGTGTAAACTGAGGACGTTACATGCATTTGGGGTAAATTTAGAAACAAGTTTAAAATTAAGAGCCCAGATATGTTATATACCAAAATACAGAAACAATTTATCATAGCATTGAGAAGTTATAAATAAACAAAAATTTAAAAAAAAAAAATACAGACAATCCAAAAGATAAATTATAGTTTCAAAGATTGAATAGGCAGTTGTTGAACATTCAAAATCCCACCTATGTTGGCAGGTAGCATCTGTAAGTTGTGCAACCACCATTGGGAAGGAGATGCTAATACCCTGCATAGGAGACATACGAATAAACTCTAAACGGAAGTTTGAATGCCAGGATTAATCAAATAAATTCCCAACTGTGTATGTGGAAGCTTTAAATTCCTACAAGCACAGAGAGGAAATGCAAGGATAAAAAAATACCTGATATTCAGTGAGCATTTCTTCAGCATCAGTCAACTTGCATGCTTTACACTTAGAGGGTGCAGAAATCACCTCAGAGACATTCTTAAGCCATTTTGCTCCAAAAATTAATGAACTCAACAGATTCCCTGAAGAACACGTGATAGAAAGTTGGCCTGCAATGTCCATCACACTCGCAACATGCTGTGAAACAGAAAGAAGACCCACCATTAGAGGGGCCAATAAAGAAGAAACAAAGCAATTAAGAAGATTTCTGAGTAAAAGAAAAAATAAGAAGATGGACAATTATTGGGAGGGAAGAAGAGAGGAGAAAACATCAAATAATCAGAACAAAACAAAACAAGGTCTAATTCGGTTTTTATGCAACACTCATCAGCATCATTAACCGCCACCCCCCAAAATAAAAGAAGAATCAACATTAAGACAAATCTTAAAAATTGTTACCTCATAAGAAGGAATCAAATAGCAAAAAGAAAGAACTTGATTGCACCATCGCAGAGTAGAACAAGCATTTTGAAGCTTTGGAGTCTCAGGAAAATCCACACGAAGAGATAAACCAGCTTTTGTGACAGATTCAAGTAAGGTAAGAAGACTTTCTATTTTTGAAATAAGACCATTGCTCCTACCATCACCAATGTCAGTCACACCATATAGGCACTCCACATCTTGCAGTACAGAAAAGGCCTCCCGCTGCCATTCCATGCAATTTTTTAGAACTGTTTCAAGCACACTTTGCTCCTCCAACATTATCTTAAGAAACCTCGACTGAGAAACCAACTCCTGAAAAATGTAAAACACAATTCTCAAATTTGTTTCAACAAATTCAGCAGACATACCAAATGAAGGAGACAATATGAACCTTCAGATCCCCAAGTTTCAGCAAAGAACAAGATGCAGAAAACCCAGAAAAATCAGATCCTAAAAATGGCTTGGCATTGTTTAACCAGGACTTTGCCGCTGATATTGCATCTTTGACTTCACCTAAAGAAGGGGTAATAGCAACTATGTCCTCCGATGTCCTAAAAGATCAAATTCAGTATTGATTATACTCAAGAAAGGGAACAAGATATAGAAGAACTCAGTGAGGCAAGAGATAATAGTAAATGGTCATCAAACCTTATAAGATCCTCAAATTCAGACATCTCTGCCTTGCATGCAAGTACATTCTTTGCTCTTTCCTCCCACTGCAGAGCACCAGCAAGTTCTCTAGAAAACCCCAGAAATAACTCCTCTCTCTCAATCTGCAATCTGAAATAGAAAAAAGGAGAAAAAAAAAACTGAATGAGACTTTTAAAAGTACAAAAAGTGTAACAAGTAAAACATCCGGTGCCATGAGTTATAAGAGACATGAAGGAGAGAAAGCATTACACAACAGCCTCTGCCAACAGTTGCTGAAGAAGGTCCAAAGCCATTTTTGTATCACATGCCTGATACAATTGTAAAAATTAGTAAATTGCAAACATTAGCTTTGATAATGCATGTGTTCTTACATACTAACAAATAAAAGTCGAAAGTGAAAAAATAACATTACCTTCAATGCCTTTTCCCTGCAACAAGCCTTCTTCAACTCAATCTTCACAAGCGGCAACTCGTCGACTGTTCAGAAGAAAAGATAAATCAATAACAAAAATTACTCCAAAAAATCACCAAAATAACAATTATGCATAGATATCACAAGAACCTTGAATCTTCAAAGATGCTCCATCTTCTAAAATGCAATTTAACTCTTCAATAACATTTTGTTGATCCTCACGCTGATGGACATTCTTCATAATATTATCATAACGTGCAATCCACAAAGAAGCATCAATCTGGTATTGCTTGAGAAGTCTCAACTCTGGTATGTTAACAGTGAAACTCTCCATTTCTTGAAGAAGCACTTCAACATCCTGCATAAGTCAGAAGTTCAAAGTTCAAGTTCTTAGATATTCAGGCATATTTGAAAGTGGAAAAAAGGGAGTCAAGCGATTACCTCTAGAGTAACAGAGCCATCCAATACTGATCTACACCGGGTCTGACATGATTCAGCCTGGCTTAATAAATCAAAAAGAATTTCCATTTCCTGAACTTGGACATGAAGCTCCAATATCTATCCAAATAATAATCAAAGATTATATTGAATACAAAGAAGATTGCAATCAGAATACCAGGTCCTTCTCTTTTTCCAAGGAGACAGCTCTTTCACAAGATAAAGAAATTCAATCACCTCTGATTTTAACTTGTGAAGAATGTCAACCTCAATTGCTGCAGGACGTTTATCTGAGATAAATTTTCTTGCGCTGTCTATCCAGACCTAAAGGACCTCAATGATGAAAGTGGATCAGGAATGAAAACCGATATTACAGAGCCACTTATGTTCCATATAATATTGATGAAAGGAATAACCAACCCAAAAAAGTAAAAAGTTGGATGAAGAATCTGAATCCATAATTCACAATGAAATGATGAACTCATTTTCGTTCTGATATATGCATGGTACTCAAAATAATCTTGAGATATCAAGATATCAAAGAATATATATAAAATAAAAGAACCACTTATACCTTATACGGGAACATTAAATATATTTAATGACAGGTATGAATGGGTAAAAATGTCATCCAGAGTAATGTTCCCTCCATAGGTAACAACAACGAAGTATGACTATTTAAAAGATATACCTTTGCCAAAGAGATTTTTTGTGATAACATCTCACTTTCTTTCACATGGATCGGTGAGCTGCAAGCTCTTGAATACAATAACTCCAACTCATTGATCTGGAATTTAAACGATGAAAATGTTAGTCCAGATAATAAGAGAGGAGAAGCATCAGTCCAGACTAAACAATAAGTTCTTCTAATAATCAAAAAGGTTAAATTTAAGTTAAGTGATTGGAATAAGATGTAAAAGCATGTCTAGAGGTACCGTAGAGCATTTTGATAGAGCAGCATCAATATCCTGAACCAACAAACTAGCCTCTTCAGCGCACTCCTGCACAAAATAAACAGCTATAAGAGTTCACATCCACAGACAAAAAGGCAAATAACAACAATCACTATGGTAATGTACCTTCAACTTGAGATACCCCGGCTCATTACAAGGCACAGGATCAACAGTAAGCAATTTGTTAACCAATTTAAGTGGCACTTTCTCTAAACCACCTCCAGGAGACCAGTTTTCAATTTTAGAAAGGCAGTCTCCTATTCCTTGTGCCCATTTCTGAGCTTCAGTTAGATTCTTTACTACATTCCGAACCTATATTACATTAGTGGGAAAAGTAATTACTTCAGCTATCAGAATCATAATGTTCAGAAATGAAGAGCAATACACGAATGAAACAGTTTAGGCTCGTAGCTTACTGAATCCATCTCTGAACCAGCCCAGAGAAACTGTTCTGCTTCCTTCAACAGATTAGTATATGCATCACCTGAAAAAGGACTCTGTAAAATCCTACGCGAGTGGGAAAGCCATTGTTCTGCAAGTTGAGCATGAGTAATATGGGCATCCTTCACCTACACGTGTTATATTAGTTCAGTAATTTAGCTTCAAAAAGATGAAATGCATCCCACAACAAACTGAAAATCACTAAATTGTGAAGTATTTTTTATGTCCAGAGATTGTACGCTTGTTAATGAAGTGCATTAAAGAACAAACAACTTCAACAAGCAGTAGAGTAATTATCTAGCTAGAAAATTTTCAAGGCAATGACAATGAGAAATAACTCATCCAATGAAAAATACAGGGCATACAACTCCAACAACCAGAAAGGTGAGAGTGGTTTTATTTTCAGATAGGATACTATGGCATTACAAGGATTAAAGCAGAATACTTTCACAAATCAGAGTCCAAGTGGCTTCCAAATCTGAATTTGAAGAGCCTTCACTTGAATCTCTAGCATTAACAGCAACTCAAGAACATGATAATCACAAAGGATACCACAAGCTACACCCACTACCCAAACCAGAGTCAGTCAAGACGCATTTCACAAGAAACAAATCTTCAGTGACCGCTCTTTGACTACTATTTCTCCCCATGAACAATGCAATGCAAATCAACACACAGCTATCAAATCATTGCTTATACTCAAATTAAAGCTACTATGCCTTCATATTACTTTATACTTTAACAGAAGGGCAAAGAACATATAGTATCACCAAAACTCATCACTAAATGAAACTGGAACAATCTTGAATAAATATCCAAAAGAAAATTGATTAAACCTTCTTTTTTGAAACATTCAATTCATTGGAACATGAGATATTCTTCTTTTGTAAACTATCACTTGGTGGTATCTCCTCAGAAGCATGTTTATCCACTATAAGCATCAAATCAGCCAATTCTGCCAGAGTATGACGATAAAGAAGATGAAGTTTCCTGGATTTGCACTCACAAAGGTGTTCCCAGTGCTGCATGATAGACAAATGCAGTCAACAAAATCAGATTGAAATAATAAAAGTTTCAACGCTAAAGAAGGACTACAACATAGGATGATCCCCAAGCACATTCATTACTGAACTCTTGAATCAAATCCATTTTACAAAAGTAGCCTCACAAGGAAGCACTAGCATTAGCGAATAGAAAACCAACAGAATGCTTTGTATATTGAAAATCCAACCATATATCTACAAAATGGATGGGGCTTTAATATCCATAAAGCCTCCAATCATCTAGCATCAGGAGAAAATAAACTCAATAATATGGGCAAATATGATGGAAAAGAAAAAAAAGCTTATGCACCCTGAAACTCTTTTGAAAGTATAGATAGTGAATTTTGCAGATCTTCCTCCATGGCCAACCAATAAAAGTTCAAAATATCAATATTGTTTCAAGAACTTAAATGTATCTGCAGAGATTAGCAAAGATGATGGAAACAGATTGGAATATAGTTTAAGTAAATAGTTCAATAATTAAAAGATCAGAAGCTATTAGTACCAACTTAAGTTACCTCCACGCACACAAAAGCAGATGGCCTGCAGCGGCAAACAACAGCAGAAAGATATAAATACTGCTTACATATGATGCACATTGGATCCTACAAAAGCCACCAGGAGATATCATCATGATCACATATTATCTTGTTATACATGCATTTAAAGAAAAAAGCAAAAATCAGAGTTCTTTCTCCATCCATAAGTATTACCTCTTCAGTACCCACAAATTCAGGAGATTTCCGAGGAGACATGAGAGATGATCTTATTATGCCACTTTGCCATAGCCTCTCCCTCCATGTCCTTTCTTTAGTATATATTCTGAGCAATTCTTTTCTCAAATAAGCTGCTGCTTTGCTATCCCAACCACTCTGCTCAAAAACAACAATGCAGTAAATAATTAGGAACTATTTGGGCTCTGATTCGACATTCACATAGGTTCAGTTTAACACGATCGCTAGTTTCATTAGCCTCACATTCATCTTGGTTTTCGTTATCACAAATAACTATAAGATCATTAAACTATTTTCTTTAATGACACTTATACTTGAAACAATGAACAGCAGATAAGGGAACTTATACCTTGGCCACCACACAAAGAAGCTCCTCGTGAGATAACACAGCAGCTTTATGATATAGTTGATACAGCTCCGCTCCAGACCCACCATGTGGTAACCAATCAGCAGGAGCAAAATTTACAGCCTCTGCACAATTTAAACCTGAAAAGGCAAAGCAAAGTTCACCGCAAATGATTCTTTATAAGTTTAAGTACAAACTATATCCTACCTTTAAATTAAGAAATCACGAACTTCAAAAAGTTTATGACAGCTTACCCAAGTTGAATCCTCCATGATAAGATCTAGGGAATGTAATGACAAAATTTCCTGGCTCCTGGGATAAGGCAAGTATGAAACTATTTTATAAAAAGTATCTAGGGCAACGAACAATATTGAATCAACATGCACCAAAACAAAAATAACAATAATTACAATAATTTAAAAGCAAGACATTAAACATCCACCTCAGAGTTCACATGGAAAGCAAAAACAAATCATATATACATGAACCAAGCACAAATGCACCAAAAATAACTTCCACCATAAATTTCAGAGAATCATGCAACAAAAACAGCATACACACAGGATTGCATGCACTGAACATCTAATTACCCCAGCATACTATGTTCTAAAACCACAATCACTATTAAAAAAATCAATAAACTTGAGCAAACAAAAGACTCGAGCATTTTTCTTTACCCAATTATAAAATAAATTAAAAATAAGAAAAGGAAAACCTGTAGCACGCTATAGACTGGAACACCATTTTCTCGCAAGACAGATGGATTCAACATGGTAACAAGCTGAAAAAGCAAGTCAGGTTGTGCATCAAATAGATCAGGAAGACAATTCCGCATCACCTACCAAAATTGGACAATGTCAGCTGCTTACATGCTTCAGAGAACAAGAGACCATTACTCAAATTCATGAAAATGCCAGTAAGATACCCATGAATGCATCAGCTAGGCTACTAACAAAAGGACCACACATCCAACAAAAAGAAAGGCAAAATGAGTGAAATCAAATAGCAAAAGGAAATGTATTTGTCAGGAAACAATTGGTAGAAGTTTAAATATCGCTATTGTATCAAATACGGAAATAACAAAAACAAAAAAGAAGAGCATGGTAACAGGAAAAGAAAGAAATTTTAAAGGACTTACAAGGCAACGTGCAATATATTGAATTAAATTTATAAAACACTACCTTCTCAAAAGCGCTAGCTTCACTACCAGGGACACTGTACCAACATTTGGGCTCTCCCCTGCAAATACAGAAGAAAGACCATCAAACTTTGCATAAAATCAATTAAAATTGACGCATGTATTTTGTAAAGCATGAAAGTGGTACAGATCAATCAAGACCATCAGAAAAATAAGAAAACAGAAAAGAATTCTAATTTGAAAAGAGACATTTTTATTCTACCATGTCCTCTTTCAGTAACATTATGTTAGTAATACGAAGGTAAATGAAACAAGTGCCACCAAAATCCTCTATATATACTTGAGACAATGATTACTCTCCTCAGTAATTTATTCGATGATTCTAAAATAACCAAAATGGAGAATTTCTAGATGAAAAGCATGATAAGTTGTCAACGGACCAGAGAGTATAGATGCATGGAGTGCACCTGAACACAGATAGACACGCATAACCCACCTCTACCGCAGATACAACCTGACCATCCTCCGAATATTCAAATTTACCCTAGCTACCTACATTAAATTTTAGCTAACTTTTTGACTGGCTAAATATATGCCCAAGTGCTAGGCAAAAGCCTAGACAAATTAATAATATAACTGCACAAATCACTACTAACAAAAGAAGTGCATACAACATTAGAGGAGACATACCAGTGCAGGTAATTCATTGAGTAAAAACAATGATCTTCAAAATGCCAGCAGAAAGCTGAGAATAGCATCCCAACATACAGCCAGGGAACCATGACACCAGTAATATTATGATGAACAGCCCGCAACATTGACCCTCTCAACTTGGGCAAGTTATTGAGATTCCATGGGCTCCTACAGTATTCATCCCATGCCTTAAGATCAACAGATTCTGGCCTTTGGTCATTCAAACGTGGAAAACCACTCCCATAAACAGAAGTATCCAGATCACTGCCATATAAAACTTCAACCTCACCTGCTGATCCCTCTACTATCTCCCAAAACTTTTTCTCTATCTGTACCCTTGAAGCAGACCCTGATCCAAACCATTTCTTCTTGGCTCGATCAGCCAAACGCCTAAAAGCTTCCAACGTAAACCGTTTGCCAGGCACAAAACCAAAACTATCCTTATCAGAATTCAGGCACTCAAAGCAATACCAGTTACCTGGTGGGACCTGCTTCAATGGTGGTGATAGACAATATATATGCCACCCCTTATTACATCTATCACATAATAGCATCACTTCCCCGTGCAACCCACTTCTGCATTGTTCGCATATCTGGTCAAGCTCTTCCTCCTCCTCTACCTTACAGACTTTAGCTTTCTCATGGTCACTATTCTTCCGTCTCCTCTTGGAGCTAGAAATTTTAACCTTATTTTCATTCTTTGGATCCTCATGAATCCCTCTCTTGCAACTCCTTGCCCTCTCCCGGTTCAACCGTTTATAATAACCCTCATAATCATACAAATGCTCTCTATACATCTGACACAACACGTGCTTAGCACACTCCGAAATCTTCTTCCCTGACCTCACAAACCTAAAAACCTCCCCCCACTTCTTGTCCTGTACGACCTTATCATAACCCCCATATCTCCTCACTGCATTAAACAATTTACACAAATCCAACTCCTCTCCTTCAAACACCACCCTCTTTTTCAACTTCTTACCACAATGCCCTTCCAAGAACCTATTATACTCCAACTCAAAAGTCTTGGAATCGCAAGAAGCAGGGCGAGCCTGCAACTGATGAATCGCTTGTGTTTTCGTAGGAAAAGTAAAAGAATCCACATTCAATGCAAATGGAGGGTTCCAATTTTTAGGTGGAACAATCTTACAAATTCCATACGGCTCAGCCTCTGGCCTGATCTTATAAATATACTCTAATGGGTCCCTAAACTCCTCCTCACTAGGGTAATACACAGGCCCCGACGGTATATTCAATGACCCATTCGATGAAACACTCAAGTTTTGCCCAGTTTCAACTGCCCTAGGTCTCCCCTTCCCCATCACCACAACCACTCCAACATGTACATTCAATCTATACAAAACACCATGCACACATAAAAATGAATGACACAACTCTTTTTCACAAACTATAATTAACAGTAAACAGTTAGCTTCGAATTCAAGTAATAAAGAATTTTAAAAAATATATAAATAAGATTTTCTAGGGTTTTAAGCGTACCTTTAGCGGAGACTCTGGGGTTCTCTTTGTCAGTGAGAGAGAAAAGAAAAGGAGTAAGTTTCGTAGAAGATTTGGTTCTAAAACAAAATGAAAGTTTGTTAATTATAAATGGAAGAGGAATGTGATTTTACTTAAAGAGGATCTAACCTTTGTTAAATTTACGAAAAAGGGTAAATTCACTTCCTGGACATTTTTATCGGAGACGACGGATCTGTCGTCGTAATTGTGTTTAGTATCTATGGGTTTTGGAGAAAATATCCACGCGCTGTTGGGACTGCACGGGTGAGGTGATCGAGAGGAGAACGGTTCAGGTGTCAAAGGAACGGAGGGATTTAGTTGCGTGTCCACAGAGTTCGTTATCGCAAGTGGCGCTGGTAAAACATTTTGGCTTCCATGTTACCGTTCGTGTGCACGCGTCAGGGATATTTACAGCTGGAACATCTGATGGAGAAATTGGTAGACGTTGACGTTAGATGAACGGTGATGATCATTCTACAGTTCTTGATCAGAGAAGAAATTTTCTTTTATGAAAGTCTACAAAAAATAAAAGAAATTTATTTGTCAAGGTAATTGGATTGATTTTTTTTGGGTCAAAGATATTTAATGATGGACCCTTGTTTCTTTCTTATTGGGCTTGGGTTTGGCCTATATGCAATGAATTAGGCCCACTAATACATACCTTGTTGATTAGCCAACATACCTTAATTTTTGCTTTTCATTTTGCTTTCTGGGTTGGGTACTTTTCCTCGTATTCTTTCCTCTCTTTTTCTATAATTAATATTCTTTATTGAACTAATAATCTGATAATTATATTTTGTAACACATAAAAAAGAAAGATCACCAACTAAAAAATAAAAAAACAACTTTATAATTAATAATAAAATCATTTAAAAGGTAGCAATAATTTCAATTTTTACTAAATTAATAATTTCAAAATAAAAATCCATTGTTCTTTGACATGTTCCTGTAAAAGTCAAAATCATATATATTATGATTTTATAATTGGATTGGTTAAACAGATTTGTTTATAAAGTCTACAAATTCGAAAAAAAAAAACATATTTTCGTATGCATTGTCTCAAAAACAAGCCTATCATACATAATTTTGAAAATCATTTTCTCTCGGTAAGGAAACTTTTTCAGTAATTATAAGGAATTCATTACTTTTAGTTAATCTAAAATTATTGTTATGTTATATAAATGTAATGACCCAAGTGAAAACACCAAGCTTAAACCGTAAGCTTAAGTTAATCGCTTTCATTTTCTCTCGTTAATAAAACTTTCCTAGTAATTATAAGGAATTAATTACTCTTAGTTAATCTAAAATTATTGTTATATAAATGTAACGAACTAAGTCTAAATACTATGCTTCCTTAAGTTTAAGTTAATCCTCACGAAACCAATATATCAAAAGCATGATGTGGGCCAATTATAATAATCAAAGTCCAAAAAACATTGATCCAGTAACTTTTTAAATTTAAATTATATAAATTTTTAAAATTTAATATTATATTATTAGTAATGATTAACTTAAATTTTTAAATAAATCTTAAAAATCACTTGATGTGAGATAAGGTATTATAATAAATTTTTCAAATTACTATTTTCAATAATAAAAATTTTAAAAAATTAATAAACTTTTTAAAAGTTGTATTGTATTCAAATTATTTTGTCACTTTGTGCATCAAATTGAGACTCCACTTCCCTAAAAAGCATAAAAATAAAAATTTAGATTCTTAAACAATAATTCATGTCCATTTTTTTTCCCCCAAAGGTGGACCATTTCAATTCCGAGTCAATCATTTCACTTCCTTACTATCGAAGTTTACAGTATCAAATCATCCAAAAAAGCTTTGAGCTCACGTGAGGATTGCGACTTGTGACCATGTGAATGTCAAATTGCAATGGCATGAATACTCTTATATTATCCAGCAACCATTAAACAATGGAACAAGTATTACATCATGGACACTTAAATCAAACAATATAACATATAAAAAACCAAGATTTGAAAAAATGACATAGAAAACTGAGCTATATTTATTAGGCTTATTTAAGATTAAGAAATGGTAATTAACATATTAATTTTATTAAAACCTAGCAGATACTTCTATTATGCATGTTGAATTGAAAATGGTGATGGAGTGGTAGTTACCAATTTTCGATTTTTAATTATTATTTCAAATCAAATTATTGACTTAATTTATGATCGCATATGATTATTTTAATAAATATTACTATTATGCATGTTTTTGACGACTTAACTTTTTAATTTTTAATAATTGTTTTGAATTAAATCATTAAATAATGTATAATTATTTTTTAATTATTTTTTTATATAAAATTGTGAATCTATCACTGTTTGAATTAATGTAAGAGAATATTTATATAATTTATTAGTAAAAACCTTTGAAAATTTTATATTTGGGTAAACACTAGGAGTGGAGAACATGTTCGGTAGCACCTTGACATTGTACAATTCACGTCTCTTTCAAGAATTTAATGTTTATAACTGCAATCAAGCAATGTTAGATGGAGATATCAAGGATCAGGGGTCGACCCTTTCTTCATCTGTCAAGCAATTGTATAGTGTACGTGTGGCTCTTTTGTACGATATATCTAAAGTCAGAAAAAAGGAAAATGAGTTTGAGTTGTAAAGCGTTCGTGTGGCCCAACATTTAGAAAAAAAAAAAACAAAAACAAAACAAATTGCACTCCAATTTGGCATTCCCCCTTTTTTTTTTTTAGTTAAATATAATTATATATTTGCTCAACAAAATTTAGTAATTAAACGATATTGTTTGAAAATTAACCAAGTTGACCTTGCTTAAACTTAAAAATAATGTTTTCATGTAAACATAAGATAAGTGACCGCATATATTTCTTGGTGGTGAATAACAAAGTTTTAAGTTTTTTATTCTAATTAAAAAAAATTAAACAATTAAACCTTTAGTTACAGATTTGAGGTGGGATTTAAGAAAAACATTTTTTTTTGAAGTTTTAATTAAAAATGGCTTATAAAATGTTAGTAGAAGCTAGCTGGATGGAATGGACGAAAGCGGCTTAACCTTAACCCCCTTTTTTTTTTTGTCTGAGACAATGACCTATAAGCATTACTAATATGATTGTGTATCCATTTGCTCAACATGCTTTGTTTCTCCTTTCATTATCACTTTTTTAACAATAATAACCATCATCAAGTTCAGTGGTGCTTTTCAACTGTTTAGGACGCGCTAACTGAAACTCAACACCTCCTACCAGTAAATAACAATAATAACACACACAAAAAAATTATAATATAACTATGATTTAATGATAATTATATATATACCAAATAAAAAAAATAACATCTTTGTAACTTAGTAATTAATGTCTACATTTTTATTCTTTTAATAATAATACAATAATAATCAAAATGATGAGTGGTTGCATTATATATAATAATAACGTAAGAGTAAAAGAAATGGATAAGTTTGGAGATATCGTTGTTACTATCAACTTGGATAATTGAGTTACTAACTTTATCAAAATTAAATTATTTTGTGCTTTAATATGATTTAGACCACCTAGCGAAGCGGCTTGACAATCAATTTAGAATTTATGTGTCCAATTATATTTACATAAGCGGGTTTCACCATATTAAATCCAGTTTGACCACAATGCTATTGATTATAAATTAATTTTGGGATTTTTTTGATAAATAGTATAAAAAATATAATTAGGAAATGAGTTACCTAATCAATCTTATCTGATCTGATACTACTGAAAGAACGAGAAAAAAATATCCACGAAGCCAATGGAGATTTATTACTATTTCTTTCATCATTTTAAAAATAACATGTACTTTATGTTTCTCAAAACAGAAGGGTCCCCCAAGGTTCTATTTATTACATTATCTTGTCACCGAGGCTCTATCTATTTTTCAACTATAAAAAAAAAAACTACTAAATGTCATATTTTTAGTAATCCGAACAATGGGTTTAATTTTTCTTTTTAATAGATAAAAAATAAAGACAATTTGATATTTTGGTTTTATTTCTTCCAAAGAAGACAACGGGTAGGCAATTGATTATGGGCTTACGGGGACTTAGGTATGGAAAAACTAGAAAAACAGAAGAGGTCATGTCGGTGGAAAAATAAATAAAATGAAAAGATAAAAATATAATAATAAATAAATTTCCGGTTAATTTTTTGAAAAATGAATAAATATTTATATATCCATATTTGCTAATCCGAATCTTCAACGCTCTCTCAAAAATTCTCCTTCGCAAAGCCCAGAGAGAGAGAGAGAGCTCAACACTGAAAGAACTCAAAACGATCCCAGATTCAAAGACAGCTTTCGTTACTTCATAAAATGAGAAAAATCGTAAAAGAAACAAATACTCACACACAGAAAGAAACAAATCCGTTTTAACTTTTTTTTTTCTTTTGAAAGAATCGAGAGTCTCTTTGGCAGATTCAGGTTCTTCTTAAATTTTCCCTTCTTATTTTTTTTTTGTTCTTTCTTATGTGTTTTAGCTTTGATTTGATTAGAGGAATTGTTTCGAAGTTACAGAGAAGTTGAAGTTTTACGAAGCTAAGCTTTTCATTCACTGAAGGGTAAGTGAGTTGACTCAGCGGAGGAACTCGCTGCTGGTAAAGGTGATTTTACTATTCCGTGTCTCCTTTTTCTTTTTGTTGCTTGGTTGCTGAGAAAGTTCCGCCAGAGAAAAGTGTTTCGAAAATAGTGTTGAATTAAATGAAAACGATTCTCTTGTTCGGTGTTATTTTAGTTGAAATGAAACGGAAAATTAAGCTGAGTAAAAACGACATAGTTTTAATTGGGATTAAGTTTCTAGGTTTTAGTTTTTTTAGTGGAAGAATAAAATTGAATGTGACTTCTGAGATTCGAATTCTTAGCTTTAGCTTATTTTTCTTTTGGTACAGGTAATTTCAAAAATGGAATATTTGAACCCAAGTTGATTGTTGCAGGTCAATTGGGGTTTTGCTTTAGACAGCATTTTTAAAAAAATAAAAGGATAGTTGGTTAAGATGGGTGAAATTCAGTGAAAATTACTTGGATGACACTTGTTTGTGAAGCTGTGTGTACACATTGAAACCTTACAAAAAGTTTGGAAATTTTGGAGCCTCAATCGATTTGTTAGTGTTTGAGGAGAACCATTGAGTTATTGGGATGGGCTGTCGGTGTTCGAAACTGTCTGCTTGTTGTTGGAGTTCAGATCAGAATGGATCAATTCCTGAAGCTGATAATGTTGGTAAGTATCTGTAGTGGCCTATTGGGTTTTGGTTGTTGATTATGCTAATAGAGGCTGGATTTTTAATATTTAATTATGTCGTTTTGTAGAAAATGAGGACAAGGGTGAAGTTGATGATTTGCCTGCATTCCGTGAATACTCGATTGAAACACTCAGGATGGCTACATCTGGATTTGCCGTGGAGAATATAGTTTCAGAACATGGTGAGAAGGCTCCTAATGTAGTTTACAAGGGCAAGTTGGAAAATCAAAGGCGGATTGCTGTTAAAAGATTTAATAGGTCTGCATGGCCTGATGCCCGGCAATTCTTGGTAAGAAAGTGTTGAACATGTAGTTTGTTCTTTTCAAGTTTTCATTTCAGTCATCCCTTGGTTGCTCATCTGTGAACATCACAAGAGCAGAGGAAAAGGAGAAAAAAAGGGAGAAGTCTCTCTATTTGCAGTAGACATTGAAGTTATGAAGTTAAGTTGTTTGAGAATTGTTGTCTTTGCAGAGGGATTTTTCTCTTTCAGTTCACATGCTGATGTGTTGTATGCATGTTTTATTTATCAAACGACTTTTATTTGCAACCTTCATAAATACTTGGTCAAACTAGAGTGTGTCTCTTCCTGCTGTCATTAAATCTATTGTGTAAAATTGCTGTTAACATAGTAAAATCCTAGGTTTGCATTATAAAACTTCTAGATTCTAACTTTAGCTATCTATGACTTTAGGAAGAAGCAAGAGCTGTTGGTCAGCTTCGGAACCACAGATTGGCAAATTTACTTGGTTGTTGCTGCGAAGGTGATGAGAGGTTACTTGTTGCAGAATTTATGCCTAATGACACATTGGCAAAGCACCTATTCCATTGTAAGTTCATGTTTGGTTCCCTTGCATCAGCTTTAGCTTTTAGTTTATGTATAAGTTTTCTCATTTCTATTTTAAAAGCTGCTTGATATGGTTGAAATGAATCTAAAACCTGTCAATATCAGTTGAAATATGGTTCTTTCTTTTTGCAGCATGTTAGTTTCTATCTCTTTCATTCTTAATAGCTGATCATTGTAAATAGAGATGTTATTTTCAGACTTACATTTATAGTTGAACTGATGGGTTTTCAGGGGAAGCACAACCTATGAAATGGGCGATGCGACTAAGGGTTGCTTTGCATCTTGCACAAGCTCTAGAATACTGCACCAGCAAAGGACGTGCCCTGTACCATGATCTAAATGCTTATAGAATTGTTTTTGACGATGTAAGTATGTTATTTTAATTTGTTTTTTCTTCAATAGTTAGAAATTAGTATTATTTTATTAGTTATGCATGTTTATTTCAGGAGGGAAACCCTAGACTTTCATGCTTTGGTCTGATGAAGAACAGTAGAGATGGAAAAAGTTACAGCACAAACCTCGCTTTTACTCCTCCTGAGTATTTGAGAACAGGTGCTCATCCTCTTGAACAAGCCATAAGCTTGTTTTCTTGCCTGCCAATCTTTATTTACTAGCAACATATTTGGATTTTTGATCAATGTATTTATAGACTTGGCTGTTGAATACCCATGAAGTAAAACCAGTTATTATTTTGTTAATCAAGTTGTTAAGTAGGATTTCTACCTGTGACCTCTTCTTTGAATTTGGATTTTTCTTCGTTATTGTGTAGTCTATGATCACTTTATGCAACATGTGATGTGTTTGTGGCCTATATGTAGAGAATTACGATTTTCCTTTGTTCACTGCTAGTAATTTCCATTTTGGGCTTTATATGTTGATTGATGTGACAAAGGTAGCTGTTGAAAATTAGATACTGTATAATACCAATTTGTGATAGAATTCTGCTCAGAAATACTATTTATATGGGACTGCAAAATGTTTATAAATGAAGATGTGGTAAAATCTGTTAATGCTGTTCATTCTCACCTTTGAGTTGTGTGGCTTTAAGAACTTTGTTAGAATGCAATATGTATGTCCAGTCTCATACTACTAATATATACACTTTTTTTTGGATTGTTTAGTATTCTAAATTATTCTTGTGTTTTCCTTCTGCAGGAAGAGTAACACCAGAAAGTGTAATGTATAGTTTTGGCACCCTTCTGCTTGATCTTCTCAGTGGAAAACATATTCCTCCAAGTCACGTAAGTATACTAGAGCACATTATGATGCAACAGACTTCTTGCAGAAAATTTGTTTTCTTATATTCTTTCTAGGGCGTTGTCATTGGTCCAACATGAAGAGAGGTATTATGTCTTTTATTCTGCATCTGTTTGAAAGATGATGTGTGATATAGAAGTGTGCTGGTCAATTTTAGGATTGTTAGTTGATACTTTTAAGGGTTTCCATTCAGAGATCGATGGTATGGGCAACAGAGAACTAAAATTTGAAAAATGGTTCTGGTGAGAACTTTCTTAAAGTAATACTACATCAAAAGTTTTTTTTTCTGGACCCTTGTCAAGATTGAGGCCGGAACCTAGAAATGACACCACTTAAGTTGGTTACTGTCTAGGTCCATATGTTATTGATGGAAGAAAACTTTGTAAGCAGTTTTTTTTTTTTTAATGATGTTTTTATGTTTTTGAGAGTTTGTTCTTATGGGAGTGCCTCTTTGTGTCTGCCAAGATGAATTTTATAGTAATTTTGTTGGTTGGTTTTTGATATTAGGATGTGGTAGTTATGCTAACTGCTGTATACCTAACATTGAGATGCTTTACTTCCTTCAGGCACTGGACCTTATACGTGATAGGAACATTCATATGCTGACAGATTCTTGTTTGGAAGGGCAATTCTCAAATGATGATGGGACTGAGTTAGTTCGTCTAGCGTCACGATGTTTGCAATATGAACCCCGAGAACGGCCAAATCCGAAGTCATTAGTTACGGCGCTAAATCCTCTGCAGAGGGACACTGAGGTTGTTTGTCTTTTATTTCTCATAAATTCGTTTTATTATTTCCAAATTTTACACTTCTAAAATCATTTTAGCATATATGGCAGCCACCGGAAGTCGTGCTGTGTTCTCAAGCCCTTTGCTTTTGTTAAAAATAGGAATTACAGTTACTTTTGATTTTTTGTTTGGTCCAGAGAGAGACAAACCCTCATTCTGTTACTTGCATCCCTTTATGTTTTTCATATGCGAGTACGATAAATGCAGCTGGTCATCCTGACATATGCTATCAATTCAACCCAAAATAGATGCAGATGCCATTTTATGTGCAGAGTTATTAGGTCCCAGCTGTTCTAAAGTTGAATAATATTTTTCCATTAACAAGGAGTTGCTTTTCTCAAATTTTCTGCAGGTTCCTTCTCATGTATTAATGGGTATACTTCATGGTGCTGCTGCTGTACCTCTATCACCACTTGGGGAAGCCTGCTTAAGAATGGATTTGACTGCCATTCATGAGGTCTTAGAGAAGCTTGGATATAAAGATGATGAAGGTGCTGCTACTGAGGTTCGTTTCTTGTCAGAAACATGAATGCTTTTTCATGCATTATTTAGCCTTCAAACTTGGTCTAGTGGTTGTTACTTCTCCTTGAGAGGTATAAGGTCAGGTTTAAAATCCCTTTACTCCCTTCAACTTTTACTTATGTGCTAAAAGTAAGAAATTTGGCCTTCAAACTTGTTTCTATAGCTGTCAGAAGTTGTGGTTTTCTTTATGTAAATTTCTGGTTGCTGTGGCAAGGATGTTCACTTTTCTATATCATTTGTAGTGATGCAATTTAAATTCTCAATATAATTATTGTCTTAAAGTTTTTGGCATTATTTGGCTTTGAAATATTTTGGTCTTTGTCTTTCTGGTTTTGGGGTGGCCGATCCACAAGAATGCAAGATCTGGTAAGAGCTCTTTCTTGTGCTGGTGATTAGGTTGAGAGTCACTATTGTTAATGGCAAAGAATTAATGGTTCAAGTTAGCTTGCTGCATCCATATGTATATAAATAAGTGCATGTATATCTATAGACATATAAATGCATTAAATGTTGGCCTACTTTTATATACAAATATTTTCAGTTTATTCATATATGATTCAATTTGTTACACGTCTTTGCCATTGCTTTATCAATTAGAATGCATTGATATAACAAAATTCTGATTAGCTTTTTAAATTATACTAATTTGTTAAGATTGCATCTTTATCTCAAATTTTTCTTGTAGAATGACCACTGGTTTTGTGTTGCGCATTTCAGCTGTATGGTGAGTGCTTTTCTCACTGCTATTTTTTTGGTTTGGTTTGCAGCTTTCATTCCAGATGTGGACGAACCAGATGCAGGAAACATTGACATCAAAGAAAAAGGGTGATGTTGCTTTTAGGCATAAAGATTTTAGAGCTGCCATTGAATGCTATACTCAGGTTAGATAAGTTTTCTGTTCTTCTCTGAATTTCAAAAAGGTTTTACCCACTGCTGTCTCCTTTCTAGTTAAAGTTTTAGGAGGCAGATTGGGATGTTCAGAATTATGTTGTACGGTACTTTTTATACCCTCTTTTGCTTGTTTATTTATTATGATTCTTATTATCATCCAGACTGCAAAAGTGTGTCTAGGAGTTTTATAGCCATTAGTGTCCTGAAAATGGTAGAGAGCGATAAATTTCAGTAAATTGTCAATTTTGGAACTCTTTGTCCCATGGTTGGTGGATCTAAAAGGGTTTAAATGTTTTATAAATTATGAGAATCATAATCAAATAATTAAGCTGACAGTTAGTACATTCATGCCACAGTTCATTGATGTTGGAACCATGGTTTCCCCAACGGTTTATGCTCGGCGTAGTTTGTCTTACCTCATGAGTGACATGCCCCAAGAAGCCTTCAATGATGCATCGCAAGCTCAACTAGTATCTCCTATTTGGCATATTGCATCCTACTTGCAAGCTGCTGCTTTATTTGCTCTAGGAAAGGAGGATGAGGCACAAGCTGCTCTTAGGGATTCTTCTGCGCTTGAAACTAAAAGGAACACAACTGCTTGAGATCAAAGTTAAAATAAGTCACTCTCACATCAACCTGAATCTGAACATCCATTGGCAAAAATAAGCCTCTCAGTTTTCGGGCAAGAAAGATCACAGACTTTTAACCTCAAAAGGAAGCCACAGGGTATGATGAACGCATATAATGTTGATTTGTCTCTGTGCATGACTGGTTTGGTTCATGGTTCAGCATGAAACATTCTTTTACAAGATATTTGATGTGGGTTGGTTTTGTTCAGTTTGACAGGGGTAGTGGGACAGCTCCATATTATCTACCCATGTTTTCACTCTTCCTGACATTTCCCAACACAATGAACTTGGGGGAATAATTAGGGAACAGATTATATATTTGTAGAGAAGGGTTTAGTTGTTTAAAACTTGCATTTTTAAAGGGTGAATAGAAGATGTTGTCATGCTTGTAATTTATGTACAGTACCTACTGATTATGGCTGCTCATCTGGAGATGAAATTGGCTGTTTTTGTATGTTGTTAATTATTATTATTATTAATTTTTTTTGAAAGATTGGATTACTTTCGGGTGGAGCCCATTTATTATATATTACATAGAAGAGGAATGATTTTTTCTGTCCCTGCCAACAAGTTCTATATTCATCTAAGTAATTATTATTTACGTAATAAGCTTTATACTTTTTTCCAACATCAGATTTGACTTTCAGGTTCATGATTTGAGTGAAATGAAATTGGATGGAAAGATTGAAATGGCTCATGATTTGTGAGCTGATCGAAAGAAATTACCCACCAATCTCCCACGTCCCATCAGAAGAGAGAATATGCACCACCAATTTACCTAAACTTAACCCAAAAACAGTATGATGATGCAAATCATGGCTTTTTCCCTTCTTCCATCGACTTGCAAACACTTTGTCTGGGCAAACAGAAACTGAGAAAACATACAAAATTTATACACTCAAAGATAATTAAACGAACAGTTTATATAATTAAACACTCAAAAGATATTCCGGATGTACACTCCAAATTTACATATAATTAATCACAATCTTAAGCTATAAAAGGACACCAAATTCCCAACACAATTGAAACATGGCCTTCTTATTAACCATCAAATGACAATCACAAAACAGGGCCATGGCTAGAGGTTTCAAAGCAAAAAAAGAAGGGGGGAAAATCCCCTTAATTTTCCATTGCTTCCTCCTCGTACTCTTCACCATCCTGGTCCGCCACAGCGTCTTGATACTGCTGATACTCCGATACCAAATCATTCATGTTACTCTCCGCCTCCGTGAACTCCATCTCGTCCATTCCTTCCCCTGTGTACCAATGCAAAAATGCCTTCCTCCTGAACATGACAGTGAATTGCTCCGAGACACGCCTAAACATCTCCTGAATGGACGTGGAATTCCCCATGAATGTCGACGACATTGTTAACCCAGTCGGCGGAATGTCACAGACGCTCGACTTGACGTTGTTAGGGATCCACTCGACGAAATACGAGGAGTTCTTGTTTTGCACATTTATCATTTGTTCGTCAACTTCCTTGGTGCTCATTTTGCCTCGGAACATAGCTGAGGCAGTCAAGTACCTTCCATGGCGAGGATCAGCTGCGCACATCATGTTTTTGGCATCCCACATTTGTTGAGTGAGCTCAGGGATTGTTAGGGCTCGGTACTGTTGCGAGCCACGGGAGGTCAAGGGTGCAAACCCGACCATGAAGAAATGCAGGCGCGGGAATGGGATTAGATTCACAGCCAGTTTCCGGAGATCAGAGTTGAGTTGGCCAGGGAAGCGTAGGCAGCAGGTTACTCCACTCATGGTGGTTGAAATCAAATGGTTCAAGTCACCAACTGCTCATATTACATTCACAAAATGTTAAAAAAGGTCACATTATTGCTTGTTAAAGTCTAGTGAAAAATGTCATGTTCAGAGATTGATCGCTTTGCAATTTGATATACAAAGTTATTAAAGTCTTCAAACCTCTTTAGCTGGCAGGAAAGATTTCACTAAAATATGATCATATTACTATTAATTATTTAAATACATGAAAGATCCCATTAATATATATATATATATATATAGAAATATTATGAATAACGTTTAATTGTAAAATTATTTTTAAGTTATGTATTAAGATAAAGTTATAATATAATAGCAATAAAATATATTCACTTATCAATTTGATTCACCTAATATTTAATTTTATAAATATAACATAAATCACGAATAATACATTAATTATTCGGAATTATAAGGAAATAGTAGTAAAGATTTTTCAACTTACAGCTGGGATTCATGAGCTTGAGGGTTCTGAAGCAGATGTCATAGAGAGCTTCATTGTCAAGGACCATGCATTCATCAGCATTTTCCACTAGCTGGTGAACGGAGAGGGTCGCATTGTAGGGCTCGACCACAGTATCAGAGACTTTAGGTGAGGGAAAGACTGAGAAAGTAAGCATCATCCGATCAGGGTATTCTTCCCTGATCTTTGATATCAGCAGTGTCCCCATTCCTGACCCAGTCCCACCTCCCAGAGAATGGCAAATCTGAAACCCTGATATGTACTTGCATGTAAGATTCCATTAGGAAACCCCAAACAAGGCAAATGCTAAAGGAAAGGTAATGTACTAATGACTCTGAAAAGTGTTCAATGTTAAAGGCATGGTGAAGCAATTTGAACATCTCTAACATCAAATATCTTGTCAAGGAAATTGGCCTTTATTGCTTGAATGAAGAGTACAGACGGGGTGAAGTATACCTTGTAAGCAATCACAATTCTCAGCCTCTTTACGGACAACATCAAGAACGGAATCAATCAACTCAGCTCCTTCTGTATAATGTCCCTTGGCCCAGTTGTTACCAGCTCCATTCTGGCCGAAAACAAAGTTATCAGGTCTAAACAGTTGACCATAAGGACCGGTACGCAAGCTGTCCATAGTCCCTGGCTCAAGGTCCATTAGCACAGCTCTAGGCACGTAGCGTCTGCCGCTGGCTTCGTTGTAGTAAACGTTAATCCTTTCAAGCTGAACACGAGAATCACCAACATAGTTCCCTGTGGGATCAATGCCATGTTCATCACACACAACCTCCCAAAATTTCCCACCAATCTGGTTACCACACTGACCAGCTTGAATGTGGAGAATTTCCCTCATTTTTTTCCTTTGGGATTCAAAAGTGAATTTGGTAATGGGGTTTTCTTGATATTCTAAAATCTCAAGAACCTGAAAAGAGGAAGAGAGAGCAATGAACAATGAAGCTTGGGAGGAGGGGTGTGGCCTTATGAAGGCAAAGAGCAGATAGGAGGAGATGTGTGAAGATTGTGACACTGATATTTCTTTTTCTTATATGTTGAATAGTGAAAATTATAATTATTGTCAAATAATAAAACAAAATAATTAATTATTAAATAGTATCATGTGTCTTTCTATTGGAAGAGGCCTTGTCAAACTTCAATGAGAGTTTGTGAGCTGGATATTGAAGGAGACAACGAGATGCATGTTGGTTGCTCTGGCCATATTCAACCAAGAAAATGACCAACCCATCCTCCAATGTGATTCCCCATCTGCTGTTATAGGATTACTAAAATACAAATACCCATTTCTTTACTTGATTCTTCCTCACACAATCACACCTTCAATTCATTCTGCTTTATTTTCCTATGGATGGTTGACTCAACAGAACTCACAACTTGCATGCTTATTACTGTAACATATATGGTTGTGAAGCAACCAACATGACCCATACACAAACACATCCATACAATTATTACATATAACTTAATTGGTAATTGCATCTCTTTCTAATTGAAAGTCTCAATACTCAAGTGCTTGAAAATCTTAATGGTTCCATGTGAAAATATGCTGGAATTTTTGAAGCTATCTGTATATATTCAGGACTGAGGAGGATGCTCATTAAAAGGGCATTTTTGGGTTTCTCTTTGACTTCTCTGAATTTCAGAAAGCACAGCATTGTTTATGATTTATAACTCTTACCTAGAAGTCACTGTTGGTGGTCATTGATTTAATAATTCAATAGAACTTGTATTAATTAACTTGCAATCATGCATAGACAAACTCTTATCACAGTGATCAGAAAAAAACTTAGAATAACAATATTTGGAGAAGGGGAAGCAGTGCCAAATCTGATAAGGTGGTTATGCCCTTGAAATCATTAAAAGATTGCATGTCTGATCTAAGGATCAAAATTAGGTGTCTTAAGAATAAGATTGAAAAAAAAGTAAGCAGAAGGGGGGGGGCGAGGGAGGGGTCTGTCAAGCTCCAATTATTGGAGAGGGATGGGAGAGTTAGTCTGTCTCTTCTCAAATAAAACTAATGTGTCTGGCCCCTCTTTCCAGCCTCGCGCAAAGCAATAGTTGCCTACTTGCTGGAATCCAATGCTCGACCCCACTCCATCATGTATTCATATTATCAAACCTATTCACGGCCAAAGATAATGCTCCAAAGCACTTCCATTTTTACATGACTAGGATAAAGCTACAACTATTGTATTTGTTGGAACAATTGGGTAATCGTTAAACTTTAAAGCAAATTTTGATGGCGTTACCCTGCCTGCGCATGACAAACACTTTACCCCACACTTTAACCGTATCCATTCCATAGCCATGTTCTGTCACAAGTAGGAAAAAACAAAACAAAGGAAAACCCTTGTCTTAATCTGAATCTTATTTATGTTGGTAAAATTAAGTATGTCTACGGACATTTAAACTACTGATGCAGCAAAGCTTTGGTGATTATATATATATATCAAAGATTGGTGTGAGACAGAAGTATGGTAAGAGGTCGTTTTCTGGTATACAGAAATTATGTCTAATTGTTCCCTCCACAGCAACCACTCAGGCTTTTTGCTCCAGTTAGATACATTATTCCACTTAGCTTCACTTCATTTCCCTGCCACATTAGACTGGTTCTCCAGAACTGGGGCTGTAGGGTGATGAGATGGTAATACAGATAGAAAGAAATTTGTTGCCGAAGCCAATGGGATGGAAGGGCACCTAATTGCTACCAACAGATAAAAAAAGAACTCGAAAATATGGACCACTATCATCATTGCAAGCAACAACTCACCTTTGAAACGACCACCTATCTGGACTATTACAGCGAGCCTTGGACATCTTGATGCTCATTTGACACCCCCATGGCTCTGATCCTCACCAATCCCCCAAAGTCCACACATCTTTGTCCACAAGAACGCATGTAATAGTCACTGTATCTGTCTTGGACACCAACATCAAATTAAAGCAAACAGACTAATGGATCACCATACACATTATGGCGAAACCAAGTTGGGACAAAGTTTCATTAAATCCTTGTAACAAGGATTTTTTACATCATCATTTATTCCTGTCAAAGCACGGAAAAGGATTCAATAACGATTACATCCAAAGTCACTTTGCAAATCACACAAAAAAAAAACGTTATGAGGTGCCAGGAGAATCTGACTGATCTCAGTAGGAAAGCTTTGAAGTAGGTGAATTAAGCTTCATGAGAATCCATTTCGACTCAGTAGAGCAGTTCCTCAAACACAGGAT